CTTTTGAATATCTTTATTCTTAGACCGTATTTGGAAAGAATTTTGGGCCAATTGGGGTGTTATTAGAGCTCTGTTTGATATAATATGAAGTCTCAGCTAATTATGAGTGAGGGCCATTTCTTTGTGGGAAGTTATGATGATTTTACCAATAGCTGCCGATTTGGTCATTCATTTCCTTGGAAAGAGCGGGCGTGACTGAGGTGTCCGTATAAACTGTACGGGCAATTCATTTGCCTTACAAGGTCAGACATTATATGACATTCCTAACAGTGCCTTTCAATATTTCAAAACAGGCCAAATCAGGTATAGATAACCATGTTTCAAGATAGTATTCGGAAAAGAATCTAAGTCAATAAAGTGGTGAAGCTGTTTTCAAGCTGTCCTTTATCTATAGAAGGCTTTTATGAGCGTTTAATACCCTGTCGAATCGAAATCGTTTCAAAGTGTCTTCGTTGACGACTGATAATATACAAAAGTCGCGCAACGAACCATGCCTCCCAACCTAGCTAAGTCTACGCTCGAGTTAATTCATGATACAGTGGTCCGGAAACCAGTGTTGTCACCTACACTCTTTGATCCCTTCTCGAACCCTCTTGCCAAGATACGCCGAGCTGCTTCCGGTAATATCGGTATGTTACACCGTGTCAAGGCTTGTCTCGTAAACCATAAAAGAATTTCATAACCAACGTCGATGTATGTACATTACCTGTCAAAGCCATACAACTCTTGCCTCAGTACCTCAAGCCAACGTTTCCCTCACATCTCCAAAGCGTATCTGCTGACAAGTGGCACAATGCCTTATGTTACCAGATTAAAAAACCACTCACTCGAGCCGGTCCATGATATGGTGCGCAGTGGTAATTCACTACCCTCAAGGCGAGTAAAGCGTTGACTGCAGAAAGGTACAACAATATTTGAACTCATGCAAATATCGTGCAATCAGAATTGCTTTTGAGGGTAGGGGTTTTAACCAAAAATAATGTGGTGCGCGAGAGAACGCTTGATGAAGAACATCCTGATCGGCTGGCCTCTCAGCGCACGCTCCAAGGCGTAAAAGGAGCGATCAAAGTTGAGATCGTGGAGAGCATGTTCTCATCATCTTCCCCTGACATTTGACTTAGCCAGAATGCTCTTTCTTTCAAAAACACATTGTAAATAGTTGCACTAAACCTTATGTATCTATTTCTTTGAATTGTGAAAAATACATCATGGCAGCTCCCATGAGGAAGATTGTGGTAGTTTGTGAAGCTGGAACGAACAAGATTATGGTTTGTTACAATACCATGCAGAGACTAGCTGACATGGACACCTCAAGCACTGTCGTTGTATTTAGAAATGACACGGAGCCCAGATCATGACGAGCCAATCTCTCAACCGATGCGCCCTAAACAGAGGAACACGGCACACACAATACGCGCTCTAAATCCTACATATCTTAGTAGTCTCTACGCAAGGCAGTCTTACTATAGCGTCCTTCGTAAAAGCGTAGCCGAGGCCAGACCATACTACTAAATAACCGGCGTGTGGCCTATATGCGGCGCATAGTCAGATGTCGTCCGAGTGAGAAGTGGGTGAGAAGCCTTCGGAATCGTGCAGTGGCCGCTCAGGCCGCTTAGCTAGGCTACGGCGATACGTTATTGGGTATAGCGGCTAGACCTAGTGCAGATTCAGGGGCCAGGAAAGCGCCCCGCCATCGCCTAACGTACTGTACCATCAGGTCGGAGACTCGGGCGGAGGGGCAAGCGTCGAGCGAATAGCAGGTACCAAAATAGGAAGGACGGTCAGAGTAAGATTTGGAATTACTTAATGGTCATAAGTACCCTTCCGCGGGCAGGAAACAAGGACGCGCACTGCGCATCCTCTTGCGTTCCCTCTCTGCTTTCTGTACCTTGCGTCAGGATGCGGCTTCTCAGTATCAGCGTCCTGTTCCTAGCAGCACCGGGTATCGAGGTCGCTGCCTATACCTTAGATCAGGTTGAGGCTCAGTTTTCCTCGTACCTCCAGCTCGCGGAGAACGGCTGGCTGAGCAATCGAGGCCGATTGCCCTTCGGCTGCACGCTCGCAGTCAGAAAGCCCTATTCCGCTCTGTGCCGCTCGCATCTGCTGACCCATCCCAGTGCGGCTTTCTAGAGTTTGCGCTGCCATCGCAGATCTCGTATCCGAACAGCACCACCTACAGCCTCGAGGAGTCGAGATACTGGTCGCAGCAGCAAGCATTGACGGAGCCGACCTGTCGTTTCTCCCCCGAGTCCGCGCTAGATGTTTCATTTGCAATCCTGGCCCTTCAAGTGGCCCAGTGTGAATTTGCCGTGAAGAGTGGTGGCCATGCTGCGTTCGAGGGAGCGTCGAACATCCAGGGTGGGATGACAATTGATTTGGCCAATCTGAACGAGATTACCGTGCGGTCTGACCGGGCCCAGACGGCCGTTGGTGCTGGTAATACCTGGTATGACGTCTACACCACGCTTCAGCCCATGGGGCTCACTGTGATCGGCGGACGAGTCTCGGCCATTGGCGTAGGAGGACTGACCCTAGGCGGGGGCATATCATTCTTTTCCGGCCGCTACGGATGGGCCTGCGACAATGTCAACAACTACGAGATCGTGCTTGCGGACGGTTCCATTCAGGAAGTGAGCTTCTCCTCGCCATATTCCGATCTATACTGGGCGCTCCGTGGTGGAGGGAATAACTTCGGCATTGTTACCCGTTTCGACCTCATGACCTTCCCCCAGGGCGATCTCTGGGCTGGTTCGGAAACCTTCATCTATACCCCCGAGACAGCAGCAGCCATCAACGATGCATTTTATTACCTTGGCGTTAACGCTCCATCCGATCCTTACGCGCAGGTCATCACTGCCTACGCGTATGCACAATCGGTGGATGCTTATATCATAGCCTCAGATTTACAATATGGGAAACCAGTTGCAAACCCACCTATCCTGCAAAACTTCACAGCTGTCCAGGGTGCCATCGCCAGTACTCTCCGCATCGTCGATCAAGCCAATCTAACCATTGAATTCAACAATACCAACCCGGGAGGTTTCCGGTATGTTTCTCATCTCAGGACACTAACGATAAGCCTTTACTAAATCAGGATTATAGACAGACTTACTGGACCCTGACGGTTGGGAACAATGCTAAGTTGATGGCGGACATGATTGCCATCTATATGGATGAGATCGAGCCACTCAAGACTGTTGCTGGCATTGTTCCGTCGCTTGTTTTCCAGCCTATAACCACCGACATGATTTTGCACTTCTCAAAGAACGGCGGCAATGCCCTTGGACTGGATGATCAGGGCCCCCTCAATCGTATGTGTCCCTCAGCATCCTCTGATATGTCGTACTGATCCTCTCAACAGTGGTGCAAATTGATATATCTTGGTCTGACATTGCTGACGACGATCGGATTCTGACTGCCGCACAAAACATACTCGATGGCTGTCAAGCCGCTGCGTCTGCTGTGGGCCTGCTCAATGAATATGTGTACCAGAACTATGCCTCTGCTGGACAGGATGTCTTCTCCGGTTACGGACACAAGAACCTGGCAAGATTAAAAGCTGTCAGCGCAAAATACGACCCGGATCAGGTCTTTCAAAAGCTACAGCCTGGATACTTTAAACTTAATTGATTTGAAGCATAGCATAGGGCATCCGCACTCCAGATTCATAAAGTTTAATAAAAGTATCTATCGACAAAAGAGGGTCGCAATTTAACTAGTGCGCCTGAGGAATATTCAGCGCCCCCATTCGCCTGACTTCAACCATGGTTTGTAAAGCCTTCAATTTAAGTTAGTTAATTTGAAGGCTTTTTGTTGATATCAATTCTGGGACTAGTGCCTTTTTTTGACTACTTAAGCTTCACTTTCGTAGACTCTTCTTCTTCCTTCCTTGTCGCACTCAATATAGTCCATTCCTACTCCATTGTTCTGCTTCTGCTTCCATTCTCGCTTTCTGCTCTCATTATTTTAACCGCCACACCCCACTCCCATGGCGTTTTTATGGACTATTACCCGGCCTGGGTAAACTTGTCATTACACGTTCTTTCAGATTGACCCACTCTGGTTTTTTGATTACAGATGATGGAAGGAGATATCTATCCTGCATGTGAGTTAACGTCTTTCGCTACTCCCAAGCCTACGGGCTGGGCTTAATCTCTCACTCGGCAACATCAACCGCATCGACAATATGACGATGCTTACCACCTACCTCCATGTGGAATTTAGAGCGTTTCGATTTCTACTTGAGGAAACCCCGACACCAAATCGGTATCGAGTGAAGAAAATTCCTAGGATTTCTGGTCACTACAGCTGTATGCTCCCTCCCACAATGACTTTCATCAACCACGACTCTCAACACGCCCTACCATACCCTGAACTCATTGTTGTTCATGCCGGTATTGGAAAATTTCTACATGCCAGTGGCCGCGGCGATAAAATCGAGAAGCTCATTAGGGAGCTTGGTGAGGGCGGGCAAATGTTACTCCCTGATGGAACCACGAACATTAGTGATCTTCTCTCTGTGACTGGGCTCTCTACCTTGTTGTCCGCTTCAAATGCAGCAGAAGACAAGCATGAAAACGAGAAGCATAAGCAACGACGAGCTTCAGCTGCTCTTCCAGGAGCCGAGAATCAGCGGTAGCTTACAATCCAGTATCAAATAAAGAGTAACATTATCGAGTAAATGCCCAGATACCTACTTTCTCACATCAATCTGTAGACCACATTAGAATTGAAGGTGACTAAGGAGTGATACCAACTGAGCCGCCTTTCTTACCCAAAATTGAATTGCTAATGCCTAGCTGGGCTTCATCGAAGCGTTATTTTACATGTTAACTTGAATCAAGCGAGGTCCCATAGAGTTCCTGCACCAGTTGACTTTTTTAACCGAATTACTACATGACAGAGAGGGTGTAGGAAAAGACACTGTATTGAGTTACGAAGTTTTTCATTGTGTTCATATTATATACAGCCTTTGCCGCTGGAGCTATGAATCAACAGCTCTAATTAACAACCTTCGGGTCTTGACAGAGGAGATCGTCATGATCCAGGTCGCTCGCATCCGAGGCAATTACAGCCTTGGGACAGCACCGAGGTGTGGCAGTGGGGTTGATTTGACGGCAGTTCTCCTTAAAGTCGGCGGTAGTATCTGTTTTCGTAGCTATTTGGTGCAGGTCAGCAAGACTTGGTCCCTATTGAATATACATGTGGCGGGTGGGGGTATCTTACCCTTCAAGCAGACGACAGCAGCATAGCTTGGTCCAGACCGTTGCGTATAATAACAGCACGCAGCAGTAGGCTCGAAAGGGTTGCCATACGTGGGACAGACACCTGTAGAGTAGCCACGCTCGGCGAGGGAAGCAGGCTGGGCCAGGACGACACCAGCGGAGGCGGCAAGAAGAAGAATAGAAGCCTTCATGTTGAAAATTTTGATTGTTATCGGAAAGGGTAATGCTCCAAACAGCAGGTGCAAGTTCAGGATATTTATACATAAGATCAATCTGATGAGTCCGCTACGGGTTATACGCTTTCCCGTATATTGATTACTATCGGCAGGGTAGTCGACGATCTAGTTAATCCCTTCCCATTCAAACTACAAGTCAGCGGATACATTCCCCAGCATTGCGAAATTCTGGAATAATAATGTAAATTACTCCATATCTTACCCCAAAGGACCTCGATCTACAGGTGAGGTGGCATCACAGAGATTATGGGTGGGTCATAGTGGGGCAGATCAACTGCAGAACCCGGCGATCGCGAGTTCAGCCGCACCCAGCGAATTTTCGAGGCCCCGCCACTATACAATTCATTAGGAAAAGGGGGCGCATATCAAAGAAGCAGTGGAATTTTCTTGCGATTAACCTATTACTGTTACGTAATATTTAGTTAATTAGTCGCATGGCTTATTTACTTTATATACCGTTTTACGATCTCAAAGTAGGGGTACGCTACATAGATGAAATACATGAGCTTTTTGAGTATCACGTATGCAGGTTACAGTACTTATTGTCGATAGTTTCTCATAGCCTAAACTATCGATACGACTACAGATTGGCGGTGGGGCACGAGTACACTCGGCTCCTACTCCATAGATTTAGACGAAAGTGCTAATTGGATACCTGAGAAAAACCAAACATAGATATCTGTCAGAGAATGCAGTCCTTACGTGTTCTTTAAGACCTCATTTTATCCCTCATTTTTACGGAATTTTCCGCTATCTTTGCTTGTTTAACGTCACATGACGTTTTCCCTGTTTTGATCTGTTTGAAACCTTCTCTAAATCCCATGTATTTAGTTCTCTTTTATTGTGAATTAAATCGCCATCAGGTGTTGTTCATTTCTGGCTTGGTACGTATTGTGTGCTTTTGTTAGCTCAGATCATATGAGTTCGTCGGATCTCGGTACCTCTCGAGATCCGAAAGTTAATTCTTGTAGATCTCCAGTGCGTGCCGATTAGGCGACCTGAAATGGTTCTCAGCTCTCACCGTATCTATTGCGCATCTATCCTCACCGCCGTTCGCACGACGCTAAGGCAGCGCTCACCTTTTCTTCATTGCATTATACGGCTCAATCTATCGGCGAGTCTAGCACATATAAACGACCATAGGATGTAGAGAACAGGGTTTCCCGTCCGCTCAGCCGTACTTGAGCCACACGCGTCGGTAATTTAATAGTTAAGTGGGTACTCATATTGCAATGACATGCAAACCGAACGGCGATCGCATTATTCGCGATCATTGCACTGAACCCCCCTAATCTCAAGTCACCTTTGTCCGCTGAAGAGCTCTTGTTCGGGCTCCTCTATCCTATGAATAGTAAGCGCTAGGTCAAGGTGGCGGAAGCCTGGTTGTTTGAGTATCGTAGTGAAGTTTTCATACTCCTCGCAAGGATCATGAAAGATCGTACAATTGACTCCTGTGCGAAGCTGACAAGCATCTATGCTAAGATCGATAATTTTGTGGCTTTGGTGAGCAAGAACGCGTGTCACAACGCGAAAGCCGTGATATTTGTCTTTGGGTTTTTCCAGGGAGCCTTTGCCAAGAATAGCAATACGCTTCCTCTGGTTGATCGCGGTATGGAGTTGGCCATCCACGGGGAATTGGGTAATGAAATCCTTGTGGGAATTGCCGAATCATTGGTGTTTGATAAAGTGGTCTGAAAAGCACACCATGGGCTGCAGGGGTAACAGTCACTTTCTTCAGAGAAGGAAATTTCCTCAGTCCGTAGATTAATGCCTCCTCATTATACTTTCCGGCAAGAACATCATCTTGCTCTTGGATCAAGTTGCGATAAAACTCCCAACACTCCCCAAGCGGACGCCCCATCTGACCTAGCTCTCTGTAAGTCTTAACGCCCGGGTTCGAATATTTCACACTACCACCGCTTCCCTCGCGCCGGAATTGGAGATCCACACTGTAAACACATCCCTCTTTGAACCATAAAGGGCAGTTTTGGTTCTTGAAATTATCACTTTTCGGCACAAGGTGAAGATCATCATCATCATGCTCGAAACGCATGTCAGCATCCTCATCATCAGATTCAGGTTCAGAATCAGAATCAGAGTCGCGGAAGTTCCACTCTGAACTCCAGCTTGGAGCGTGGTCTTGGCCAGCACGGTGTTCAGCTATAAAAGACTCTTCAGTCTCCTCATCACTAACATCTAATTCCCCACCCGGAAAGTCCGTCCATATCCGAGGGCCCCTTGAAAGGTGAGCATCGTCCAAATGATCTCAGTGACTCCATGACGGAATACATCGTGATCTGCGATAGCACGAAAGACTTTGATGTTCAAGGGGTTGGGTGACAAAAATACTCGCCCAAGCCGGGGTCCCACTGGGAATTGCTTTGACGCGAGGCGCATAGATTTGATATCGCGGTTTGGTAGGTACGACGAAATTTCACGCCACAGCTCCAAGGGGAGGTCGGGGATGTGGGCAGCTGAAGTCATTTTGGTCAAGTTGGGAAGATCCGGTGGCGTGGGGCAAGGTGAATCACTAACAAAACCATAACAAATTACAGCGAACGCCCGAATTTAAACCCTTAGAACCTGAAAGCTGACCTGTGCTCCATCTCCAGGCAGACCCCACACCATGCCCCGCTCTCGCTTAGTAGTACACCGTCAAGGTTTCACCAGTCTCCACAGGCCTGAAACTAGCATATTTGTACACCTTTCTTCGATCAATTCAAGCTCAGCGGAGATAAGGGTCCTTCGTTTTAGAGAGCCCAGGAATAACATCACATTTCCGACTGGTTGCTAAAGATGACCCAAGTGCCGAGTTACCTAGTTCTGCACACCGTTAAGTCCAAAAAACCGTAAAGCATTTGGGTAAGAGATAATAGCCCTGGAGTTTTCGTTGATTTTAAGCGAATCGAACTAGTCTGCGGCATCATCATTACTTTTATAAGTAGGATTCCGCACGACCCTGCGGGACCCGGACCCAGACCCGGACCCAGAGTCTAATCACCCCCCAGGTGAGAATTCTCACCCCTTTCTCACCTCTATCACCCACACTCACCTAGCGTAAAATCGTCGCCGCTCTAATGTAACAGGGTCATAGTGACAATTAGCCATGTGGATGTATTGTGGCTTAAGTACGGCTGAGCGGAGGGGAAGCCCTGTTCTCTACACCCTATGGTCGTATGTACTAGTCAACTAATAGATATGAAATATAGCATAGAGCATACGCATCCCATAAAGTATAATAAGGGTATCTGTCGACAAAAGAGAGTCCCAATTTAACTAGTGCGCCCGAGGAATATACAGCACCCCCATACGCCTGACTTCAACCATGGTTCGTAAGGCCCTCAACGACTTTACTAAGCCTACATCTCATTTATTCTGTCTCTTCGATAGTATGTCAAAAACCACTCTCTCAAGTACTCGATTGCAACAGGGAAAACCAATGTTGGGTCTCCAAGCGTATCATCAGTATAATCTTGGCAACTATTCCTTATTAGGACCAAGACCGCACACCGACCTGTTAAGCCACTTCGGCCAATAAGATCCGTTTCTGTCTCTTCCGAAGCGGTGATACTGGATATGAACATTATTATATAGCTAGTCGAGCTTAAGTCACAGCCACAGAGGAGTAGTATAACGCATGTGAAGCAAGACATAGGCGCGAAGAGTGCGGAACCCTGAAAAGTTGCTTCTATTTAATAATTGGGCAGTCTGAAAAATAAAACGCGCTTCAGGTCTTCAAACATTATATTTTCATTTCAACTGATACGCCAGCCAAACCACAAAACAAGCCTGAAATCTGCTCGGTCTAGACTATCTCCTTACAAGGAAATATCAATGCCGCTCTATAACTTACCTTTAGAGCTTCTTTGGTCAATCGCTACATTTCTCGAGGTAGAAAGCGACATCAATTCCCTATCCCAAATTAACCGAAGGTTCCACTGCCTCTTTAATCCCTATTTGTACCGACATAATGCGCGAACATCAAGAGCCTCAGCGTTGCTGTGGGCTGCAGAACACGGAATCAATACCACAGCACGAATCAGCATTCGGGAGGGGGCTGAAGTTAATACGACAGACGATTCGGGTTTAACCGCATTTTCTTGGGCCGCAATGGGGGGGCACGACGAGATAATTAAGTTGTTGATTGAAACTGGACAGGTCGACTTAGACTGGAAGGAACCCGATCATGGTCGAACGCCGCTATCCAGCGCCGCGGGAAATGGACATGACGTCGTGGTGAAGCTGCTTCTCGAAACAAGACAAATTGATTTGAACGCAAGAGACTTTGCACTTGCAACACCGCTATCATATGCTGCAGAATATGGACATGGGGCGATAGTGCAGCTTCTCCTTGAAACCGACAAGGTAGTTGTCGACTCAAAAGATTCCACCGGTTCAACACCTTTATCTCATGCTGCAGAAAATGGCTGTGAAACAGTGGTCAAGCTGTTACTTGACACCGGACAAGTTGATGTGGACTCGAAAGACTTTGGTGGTCAAACACCGCTGTCCTGGGCAGCAGCAAATGGATTTGAGACAGTGGTCGAGCTGTTACTTGACACCGGGCAAGTTGATGTGGACTCGAAGGGCCCGGGTGGTCGAACGCCGCTGTCCTGGGCAGCAGCAAATGGGTCTGAGGCAGTGGTCGAGCTGTTACTTGACACCGGGCAAGTTGATGTGGACTCGAAGGGCCCGGGTGGTCGAACGCCGCTGTCCTGGGCAGCAGCAAATGGGTCTGAGGCAGTGGTCGAGCTGTTACTTGACACCGGGCAAGTTGATGTGGACTCGAAGGGCCCGGGTGGTCGAACGCCGCTGTCCTGGGCAGCAGCAAATGGGTCTGAGGCAGTGGTCGAGCTGTTGCTCGAGACCGGACAAGTTGATGTGGACTCGAAAGGCCCTGGTGGTCGAACACCGCTGTCCTGGGCAGCAGCAAATGGGTTCGAAACAGTGGTCGAGCTGTTGCTCGAGACCGGACAAGTTGATGTGGACTCGAAAGACTCTGGTGGTCAAACACCGCTGTCCTGGGCTGCAGAGAATGGGTTTGAGGCAGTGGTTGAGCTGTTGCTCGAGACCGGACAAGTTGATGTGGACTCGAGGGATCTTGTTGGCTGGACACCATTATTTCGCGCCATGGTAAATGGACATGAGTTAGTGAAAGATCTATTATTGACAGTCGGCCAAGGCCGCGATTAGTCTTACAGGCTTAACATCACCCCTTTAATCCGATTGATATTATATGCAGTAACAGATATAAGCCAAATCGAACATTTCCATTGGCTTGGCTGTAGACGAAGATGATTTAGAGATCCTGCGAGGCTCTTTCAAATTGGTCGAATAGAATTGTATTCTGGTTTTGTAGGTCTTTAATCAGGCTGTTCGCGAAGCTTTTGTCGAACCTCTTGCGAGAATGATTCAAGCAAATATGTAACCAATTTAGCGTTCTTTGCCTCTACCTAGTCCTTCAAGCTTGTTAGGACCGCTATATGAGCTCAGCAATCGAAACATGGACAAAGTGATTACTATGAAACTCTTCAGCAATCATTTATCTATTTATGCCTTAGGATTTCCACAATCTTGATGTCTGGCTTCCGCATTGCTTCGTTATGTTTAATCTTTCCGTCTACGTTTTCTGGCTTCCCATCTAAGTTAAAATCCGTGGCAGGCTAAGGATGCGCCGCTGTTCATTTCATCGGACAAACCGACATAGGAAAATTGCTGGACAGTTTCTCGCTCAACGCCACATGTGCACTGATCGTTATCACTTTGGCTGTTTTCGATAAAGATACTCGTTCATTCTTGCGTGCCCGGTGTGGGTTGAGCCAGTATCGAGGCATTTTCCCGATCCAGACAATCATAGAGGTAATTTATCTCACTAAGTACATATATGTTCCTGGCGGTCGGAGGTATATCTAAGTGTGCTTCATCGAGCATGAGTGTGGCAGCCGCCATTTCAAAAATCCTGTTAAGTTGCATAGAACCAGCTCCGCTTGAAACGGGCTTTCGAATATGACATCGTAGCCAAAACAAAGCAAAGAGCCAATACTTCTGCTCGATAGAGGATCTGCCAATCGGGTCGCGGAGTATTACCCGAAAGTGGGTCTCGGCTAGGTTCTTTGTTCGCTGTGGATGATTCTGTCTGAATAATCAAGCAACCTGAGTCTTACCTCGGAGTTTCCAATCTTCTCATATGTTCTCCTAGGTTCTTCATTTCCAGGACCTGAGTCCTCTTGTGCCTACACTTTTCACAAGATGTCTGTCATCTTTTATCTCGTCTCGCGATGCCGAAGAACAGTTCATTTCGCAAGATCCTGCCCGCAAAAAGTGGAAGAAGCAATCTATAGCATCTCAAAGCTGACGTAGCGACAAGCAAATGACGCAATGTGTCTTTTGCTTGTGCGGAGTGTTAGAAGGAAAAAGCCAAGGCCGGAACCACCATTCCCGCTTATAGCGAGGGAGCGGACCTAATATAGTGCTCTGGAACGACCCAATACACGAAGTGCGAGACTGAACAGTGCCGGTGTATCTATGATCCCGCCCGCGATCGTAGACGCAAAGCTTATACCGCTGACTTGGTGAGATTTCATCTCGCTCTCTGCCGAGTGACAGCCAAGCTCCACTCTCGCAACCCCGAGATGACATGGCTTATCTGTGGGCTCGTAGATTGTCGATAGACTAGTGGGCAGTCAATCACCTGAATTAAGCGCTAGAAGAATAGTGGTCTGTATAGTCTTTTGGTATGTTCATTTGCTTGAAAGGAAGATGTATGATGGGTTTAAGAACAATTCTGGAATTTTACTTGGCTAGGTGTCGACAGAGTAAATACTATATGGAAATAACTGTTCTAGCTTAATATTGCCCTGAATATACATTCGAGACTGACTTTATATTAGGCATTAACGTAGATCATTCCAGTTTCCTTGCGGGGGTGGTAACGGCATGCGTGGTGGCATCCTTATCGAAAATATATTATGAGGTACCCTCGTCGTATTTGGGGTAGTATCAATGAGATCTTCCAATGCGATCAACATTGGAAAGTGTCTCTCTAAAATTTTATATAGTATAGTATAGTAAATTTATATGTTTCCTTTAAATATGACACCTAGTCCTTTTCTACAGTGCTACGGGATCTAAACATGCTGTGAATGAAAGGTCAATATAACTTCAGTATGGCAAACTTTGGGTAGGGAGGTGAGTGGGGTTATCACGAGTCAATGGCCTTATGTAGACGTTCGACTAACGGGCGGTCCCGAGATATCATCGCGCGACCTGGGGTGATTCTTGTCCAAATTCTCACCTTGTCTATTGCGCACTCACCCTTCTCACCCGGCGTCGCGCGACTGAAAAGCGGCAATCACTCCTGTCTCCACCAGGCCAAGCTAATCGATTCGCTCAAATGGTTGTTCAGTGTGACGCTTAAGGACGGCTGAGCGGACGGGAAGCCCTGTTCTCCACACCCTATGGTCGTATGTACAAGGACGACCATGAGAAAGTTTCATATCCTACAAATAAGATGAAAAGGTAAATACCAAAGTCTCCGACTAGAACTTTATTCCTCGTATAGTAAGCATTGGTCATTCTTTTCCTCGGCAAGTTATATGCGAGAACCGTTTATTACAGAACTGAATAGAATGAGACTTTTCATTCAGGGTTCTGAATTTCTCATAAGCTCCGAGTAAACATCGGCTTATGCACTTTCGTAAGGCACTCAAAACGCCCCTAAAACCTGAGGGTTCCACTGATCTCCTTCCAAAACAGGCAAAAGATTATCCAAAGCACTCCACTGCTCAATCGAAAAAGCCATCTGGAACACATCCTGCATGGGCATCATGAGCGACGGATCAAAACCAGAAGTCTCACCCATCAGACTATCCAGCCATTCCATACTAGCCGCCGGCTTGAGAATCCCCTGATCGATCCCATCATCTGGTATTCCTTGCATTTCTGAATGGGATTGCAACAAGAAGTTGATTTTCGGGCCAAGATTCCGTAAGATGGTTGCTGCGCTGTTCGCAACGGAGAAGCGTTCTCCGAATATTTCGCAGACTGTTATAGCGAGATCAATTGCTTTGATGGCCTCTGGTGTTAGAGTGCTTCTTGGATGGGCTAGGATGAACCCGACGAGGGTCATTGATGCGTTCCATTGCCATTGGAATGCTTCATGCCAGCCTGTTAGGATGGTGGTTGAGGATAGTGTTTGATGCGTTATTCTGGTAATTTCCATGGCGTGTAGAGCGCATTTAGTGGCTAGTTCCTCTGTTAGACTTGATGGTTGTCCTGCGGCGAAAGAGATGAATGGTCGATGGATGTTGATGCAGAGATTGTGATAAATCAATTCCAGGTTCAGGCGTTGACGTTGAAGCCATACCGGTGCGAATGGCTCAATGTCCAGTTTTGATCCATCTGTGGAGAAGGATGTTCCCTTGTCCTGGCGGCTGGTCTTGAGCGTATTGGGCAACTCATCGACCCACTGATCTAGAGATTTGGCACGGATCTGCAAGAACTCTGCGTGGGATTCTAAAGCCTGGGGATCATCCCAAATGGTTTGACCATGGAGAAGATTCACATCCCTTGCGTAAAAAGCTTCATGAATCTCCCGTGCAATAATAAAAAGTTTCGAGTTTTCAAGATGGAAGCTAAGCCATGATTTGTTTTCGCCTGAGTTAGCCAGGTGAGAACCGGATAGCTTTGCAGTTTCAGGCTGGTCATCTGGCAGCCCTGGCTCGGTAGGAGAACGGTGAAGAAGGAATGGCCGACCTAGTTTCATGCCGATTTTGGCGTCTAGTTCATAGAGAGCCCACCATAGACGCTTTCTCAGTTCCCGTTCCGGTGCTGGAAGGTCGTGTGAAGGGGCTATATGAAGACCGGCAACATAAGCCGCTTCCGCGGCCATACCAGCCCATGTCGCTGACATATTCTGAAAAGACCCGTTACATAGGTATATGGAGCAAAGCATCAGCGTTTGTACCGTCGATACTGTGGGACTTTCAAGCTGGTAGGTGACTAGCTGTTGACAACGACGGAAGTACCAACGACCGGCGACACTAGGGTCTCCCCTAATTATAGACTTTTGTTGCTCGGGGGATAGCTGGGAGACACCATGCTGCATGCAAAGAGCAATCACGACGTCCACAAGAGCAGCAGGCCTTCTTTTATCTCCTGAATCTGCCCACAGTGAGCGATAGTGGTTCATAAACTCTGCCTCATTGATGATCGGGAAAAGGCATGTGTGATAAGATTTCCAAAAGAAATCGAGAAAGTATTCTTCCTGGATTGGGCTCAGGAAATGACCTGCTGTAAATGGGTCCTCTGCGGAAAGGGCAGCTTGATGCGAATCATCCTCATCCTCCGGACTATTTTCGGTTGTACCATTTAATAGCGTGCTTGCGGTTCCATGAAGAACCATTTGGTTGCTCATTTGGGTCTGCTGGAGGATTCCACCCAAGTAGCTGTTCATGCGCCCGATGAAATGAAAGAGCGACGACGAACCGTACCACGACGAGTTTGGAGAGCGAGCAGTACCAATTTGGATTCCTTCCCAAGGACTAGGTCGATCGGACTTCTGTGCTAAATCCGGGGGTGAATGGGTGGTGCGACTGGACGACCATTCTAACCCGGGTAGAGAAGTCTGACCAGGCGAACTCTCCGACTGCAGGGAGCATTGCAGGGAGCTTTGCAGGGCGCCTGAAGGAAACTGGGATTTATACCAGAGCAATTCATCTTCAGTCTCCTTGATATGCTTCTTCAGCCTGTCTATCTCTCTACATACCATTAGATGCTAAAACCACGCTTCACACCGTCATAACACTCACCTCATGGCCTGTGGTAATGTCCGAGGCTCATCCGATCCAGTCTGCAAACAGGGTTCATTCCTTCGAACACAGACTCTACACGGGCGCTCATTGTCGCATTTGGCCCTTCTTGCGCGGCACCCATCGCAGGCCCGTCCAACTTGCCTTCGTAGGGGTTTCATAGCGCCCTCTGCCGCATCCCGTCTTCGGACCGCCGAAGCATGCATGGTCAAGGCATATACGTGCAGTGGAGAAATCAGGGACAATAAGCCCCAGCATCCCTAGATATGCGAAGAAAGAGTGGCGGGGGGTGAGATTTGTAAGATTGCGGGCCGACCGACCAATACAAAGCCGTGGATCCTGTACGGCTGGCCAAGCCTCTTTTTATTAGAACCGAGTGGAATAATTTCTTTGATTCGTAAATCGAACGGTAAAATGAAATGGATTAAATTTCAAACGTCAAAGAAACGCCCTTGGGCTCTCTAGTATAGCCTATCTAGACGTCAAGAACTATGTACAGTGTAAACTCGCTGATATACTAACAACTATGCCTCAACCATTGGGTGCACAGCATCTGGGTGCGCCTTCAAGAATTCCGGGCTAAATGGATAGTCATTATAGCCCTCCCATGCCTTATACGTGTAGAAAGTCGGCCGGTTGTACTTTGCCAGAGGAATGTTCTCCTTAATCCTGAACACCAAGTCAGGATTGGCAATGAAATGGCGACCAAAAGCGACCATAACATCCCATTTCTGGTATTTCTCCTCCACGGCCCAAGCAGCGGTATCTGGCCGGTAACCACCCGCGACAATGACAGGCGAGAGATTGTTCCAAGCCTCAAGGATGAAATTCAATGACTTGTCCTGGTGAACCGCCTTTTCGTTGAAAATCAAAGCGCCAGGATCACCAGTTGCCTCCACAAGAGACAAGTAGGCAAACTTGACATTCATCTTCTTGAGCTCCGTAATGAGATACGTATATAGCTCCAGATAATCGGTCTTTTCAGATCCTTGGAATCCGGCATAGGGAGAGAATCGAATAGCCACTTTCTCGGCACCGATGGCCTGAACAACAGCCCGGACAACCTCGAGCGTAAGTCGGGCTCTATTCTCAATAGACCCACCCCACTTATCCGTCCGTTGGTTGACACTCGAGGTCAGAAACTGATCGAGCAAATACCCATGTGCAGAATGAATCTCAACACCATCCGCACCGGCCAAAATTGCCCGCTTCGATGTGTCAACAAAGCTCTGAATCGTCTCCAAGATCTCCTCCTCCGTCATGGCGCGAGGTGTAGCGTCGGAGTCTTTCAAAGGCACAGCACTACTCGACCTATAGGGGAATCCTCGAGCTGCTAGTAGATCAGGAAGAGACGCCCGTCCCATGGCCCAGATCTGGTGGAAAAAGAACGATTTGTTGGCGTGGACCGCATCGATGATTTTGCGCCATCCCTCGACCTGTTGATCACTAACCAAGCCAGGATTGTTCCAGTCACCCTCTTCACCGTGCGCAATGGCGGTGGCCTCTGCGATGACTAGAGTCCCGGGCGTGGAGCCGCGGTCGGCGTAGTATTTTTCCATGAGCGGCAATGGGACATGGTCATCATCATTTCGGTTCCGGGTCAGAGGAGGAAATACAATGCGATGCTTTAGCAAGCAGTTGCCAATTTGTAATGGTGTAAAAAGTCTAGACTCCGCGGGAGTATAGGTTGCGATTGAGCCCATGGTGACTTTGAACCTTGCAATTGGTGGAAGTATCTTAGTGTTTTCTCAGATTGTGTGCTGATGTGATTCAGAAGCAAGTGGAAGAGCTTCGAAGGCTTCTTATAATCTCCTCTACCGATCACGAACATGTTCTCCGGTCACATAACCATCTTCATCGAAATGTATGAAAAATCCCGGAGTTTCGGAGTCTGCACCATGTCAGATCCATATGGTTGGCGGAAGATCCCGATCTGGACCCCACATCTCCGCAATTCCGCGACTCCGGGATGCGCGAAACGCTCTAGATCCGGAGCGCCGCACAGCTGCGGCGCTGTCATCTTCCTAATCTCCGGATCCAACTGCGAGGGGATTCAATCCCGTGCTGACTACAGAGCCGCGGAGCCTAGGAGTTGCGGCACCTGGGTGATTCAATCTATTGCCGTCACCGACCACGTCCGGAATGTCATCTCACTTGCATGGCCTAGCCCAAATGAGCTCCTGTTCTCCAGGGCTCCCAGGGTATAAAATGGTGCTCACCCCTCGGTCAAAATGCAGAACATCAGCAAAGCAAATCATCTGAACACAGCTTCATACCAACAAAACAACTCTCAATTCTCAAGTTTCAAGTTTCATTACTTTACCAACCAAACAAAATGCCTGCCCGCAAAGCTCTCATCGCCATTACCTCCGCCAGCGCGGCCCTCTTCAACGGCAAGGAGACAACAGGTCTCTTCATCAGCGAAGCCCTGCACCCCTTCAATGTCCTGACGGCCGCTGGGTTTGAAGTCGACCTCTCCTCCGAGACGGGTAGCTACACTCCGGACTGGCTCTCCCAGCAGCCCGACTTCCTCAACGGCGCAGACCTCGAAACCTGGAACGACAAGAACAGCTCCTTCCGCCAGAAGCTCGACAACATGACCAAGGCCGCTGATCTCGACGGATCGGCATATGGTCTTTTCTATGCTTCTGCGGGTCATGCCGCGCTGATCGATTACCCCACTGCTCGGGGCTTGCAGAAGATCGCCGAACAGGTCTGGGCGAGTGGTGGTGTTGTGGCGTCTGTTTGTCACGGGCCTGCTATCTTTGCGGATATCAAGGACGTGACTGGGCACCCGATTATCCAGGGCAAGAAGCTCACTGGTTTCACGACTGAGGCTGAAAACACCATGGGGATCATGGGTGAGCTGAGGGGTCTTGGAACGGAGATGGTTGAGGAACTCGCCTCGCGATTGGGTGCTACATGTGAGTACATCTTTCTCCTCTGGTGTCGGCTTCGATTTACTGACTTTGTTTAGATGAGCGGTCTTCCGGTATCTGGGATGATTTCCATGTTGTCGACGGTCGTCTGGTTACTGGTCAGAACCCTGCCAGTGCTGCTTCCACTGCGAAGGCAGCTGTTGAGGTCTTTGATCAGTTATAGATGGAGTGGTGGTAGTAACTCGAGTAATTTGACTATAGAAGGAGATTGATAGATCATATCTTGCTGTTTCTGTCTTTTACTGAACTGAAATAATAATGCAACTTATACTTGACTAGAACTGTCATGCTTACTTCCTCCTTATCTAATCCCATTTGCACTATTTCGACCTATGGGGTAGGTTAATCCCGATTTGAAAAGCCTCTCGGATCACTACAGTACGGATATGAGGACATAGGCTAGTACCGGATAAGTCCAAGACCATAAACTCTCAGGAACCGACACGTCACCACATATCCATAGTTACAAGCATCAGAAACAATACGGTCACCAACAATACATTTAAACCCCATACTAGTGGCCCGGAAACCAAGCGGTGAGATACTTAGTACCACCATCCCCGCATTTCCAGCCTTATACAGCTGGACTAAGGCCACGAACTGAGACATCCACCCCATCTCCACTCCATCACCCTAGGACCCGAATCAAACCCCGAGAATACGATGGAAATCCACTTTTGGCTTCAACCATACTATATTTAAACACCAGCCACCGATCCAAACATCGACATTGGTGAGGTCTCTAGACCCTGTTCCAGATCTCGTATTTTGCCTACAACCCCGGATTCGGGCCTCTACCTCCCGGCCTATCCGACGCGAGAAAGCAGGGATGGTAGCAGGGGAATTGACCAGCTGCTGAGGCCTGAATAATATGATTCTCGTATGTTTGCAGACAAAGTTCCCGTGTTGAGGGCGATGTCTGACTTGTTTGTTTGGGATGAATGACGGTGAGACCCTTGGCTGACCTCGTGATGCTTTGTTCGGCTTGAGTTGGCATAGAAGTGGTATTGAAGCTGAGCTGGTAAGAGAGGAAAAGAATATAAAAGGACCACCGCCCCTCGACAAAACTTGACATCAAGTCCAAACAAGCCCCAAGCCAAATTCTTATCAAAACAAACAAAACCACCTGATTTCAAATTCTTAAGATTGTATCTTGTCCATCTACCACAATGCACTTCACAACCATCGCCATTCTCCTGACGGCAACAATTGCCCTCGCAAACCCGGCACCCCCAACATGCGGCACCTGCAACCCACTCTCCGGTCAGAACAGTTGTGACGTAACCACCTCGTGCATCAACACTGGCTCGACCTTCCACTGCGCCTGCCGCGCGGGATACAAGGCCTCGCACCAGAACAAGAATATCAACAAGCAGTTCCGTCTTGACATGCCGAACTATGAATTCTTGGTGTTTGTGCCGCAGAATACAGTCTGTGACACGCTTTGTGATGATCCTTATGGAGCTCCGTCTACTATTTGTAATGAGGTGCCCATCTACAACAAGTGTCAGGTTTAAATGGAGTACCCAGGTGGAAGAGAGATAGACTTGGTGGATATTGGGGGATTCAGGCTATGATGGGTAGTATTTGTGGGAAGTTGAAGTTGAACTGTATCTAGTCAGGGCATCACGATCCCATCACGCTCCTTTGGAATCGAATTGGTCTTTCACTATTATATTGAGACAATAAAGTATTTCAGGCAAATCATAAGTAGATTGGGAATACGATTTTGATAGAAAAATCACAAGAACCAGCCTCCGGTCCACAAGACACCTAAACACCCTTCGCCATAATCTACCGTTTTCACAAATGCAGCTCGAGACGCAAAAATAAAGATCAGTCAACTCAAAGACAATTAACCCATCATCTCGTCATCCGCGTTGACGAACATCAGACGCGCACCGTTGTCCGAAGTTTGCCAGACCTGTTCAGAGAATTAGTATCAAACAAGAAAAAAAAAAAAAAAAAAGGAAAACAAAAAGTTGTGGGGAAAACTTACGTTCATCTCTGCGTACTCATGGATGGCAGTAGTGAGCTGGTCCTCGGTGAAACCCTTAGCTAGCACACGCTCGCGAATACGGCGGATGCTCATGGCGTTCTCATCATCATCTCCCACAGCGGCAGCACCACTTTCCCACAGGTTGCGGATCAGGGTGTAGATCTTGCTAGTGGGAGTGTGGTCAGCACCGGCCTCCCGGTCGTTGTCGAGAGACGATCGGCTGACTTCGATGATGCGCAGGGCCTCATCGACATCCTCGCGGACAACTTCCTCGCTGAACCGCAGACGGGCCAGTGCCTGTGAGAGACGAACGATACCGAGCAGAGTACGGGGGGTCACGTGCGAAAACTGCTGCTTCTTGGCCTCATCCTTCTTCTGTCTCTTACGCATGGCGACGTAGGCACCAACCATGTACTCGGAGACGCTGGAAGGAACAACGGGTCGGAAGGTGCGCGCCTTGGCGATGTATTGGCGGACCTCATGGGGAGTGAACATGATACCCGAATCCTCAGTCTCGGGGTGCTTGTTGTGCATGTGGACGTAGGTAACGTGGTTGGCCAGCTCCTCATCAGAGTCCCGAGAAGGTGTATCTAGGAGCAGGAACATGACATCGAAACGGGAGAGCAGGGCAGCGGGAAGGTTAATGTTTTCAACGGGGGAAATGCGAGGGTTGTATCGGCCATACAGCGGGTTGGCGGCGGCCAAGATCGAGGTACGAGCGTTGAGGGTTGTGTTGATACCAGCCTTAGAAATGGAAATGGTCTGCTGCTCCATCACTTCGTGAATGGCAGTTCGGTCGGAGTCTTCCATCTTGTCAAACTCATCAATACAGCAGATACCGTTGTCAGCGAGAACGAGAGCACCTCCCTCCAGCACCATCTCGTCCGTTACCGGATCTCTCATGACAGCGGCAGTCAGACCGACACCACTGCTACCACGACCAGTAGTGTACACACCACGAGGAGCAACCTTGGTAATGTATCGAAGCAATTGAGATTTAGCCACACCAGGGTCACCCATCAAGCAGATGTTAATATCACCACGAATGTGCATACCGTCACCCATCTCCTTGGTGACACCACCAATCAAAAGCAGAAGCAGAGCCTTCTTCACATCAAGATGACCGAAAATCTCGGGGGCAATAGAGCGGGAGAGGAACTCGTACATATTGCCTGAGTTCTGGTACTGCTCAATCTTGCGCAGAGTGCGAGCATCCATACCCATGTCTTGGTAGGACTTCTTGTGCTGGGTGATGTGTTGAGCCTCGAGGTAGGTATCGGTGAGGAGACCAGCGCGGATTGCGCGAAAACCAGTGTAGGGAGTGGGCAAGAAAATACCAGCGATATCCACGATATCACCGGGGTTGACGGTGCGAGTGAGAGCTCCGTGGCAGTGAACAGTCAGGGTCCGGGGGATGTGACCGACAGGCACTTGGTCTGCCATTTCCTGGATCTTGACTTCCTGGAAAGGAACGAATTTCGAAGCACGGGTAGAAAGGAACAGCTGACCCTTGGAGTTGTTCTTCTTGCAGTCGTCGGACAAACACTCAGAAAGGGGAGTGAACTGCTTGGTGACGACGGGCTGGAAAACTTCGGAACCACATCGGTCGCAAGTGTAGGCATTGATCTGGACTGCCGGCTTCACGTCCGACACACGAGTTGTGATACCGCGCACAGTGATCAGGCTACCCAGGTGCTCGCCGCGCACATTGCGAACCGCAAGCGCCTTGCCAGCGAGGTCGCTACTGGAGCTGGAGGGAGTGAGAGGCTTGAAATTAAGGGTGTATCGGCGGGTGAGTTCCGGAGGGAACAGGCTCGCGGCGTCGGCGGCATCCATGTCAGCTTCGGCGGCCGTTTCAATCGTCTCGTTGCGCTTGTCGCGCTGCGACATGATCACATCCAACACATCATCCTTGAAACTAGATCTGGTCAGTAAAGAACTCTACTTGTTGAAGCATTGGCGATATCAAGCGACATACGAGATATCCTTGTTCCCTGCGGGCATCATCGCATCCACCGCCTGTGAAAAAACATCGATATAGCGCTTGGTATTCTTTTGAATGGACTCGACCAACTTCAGGGTTTGCTGTTCCTCGGGGAAAGATTTCTCAAACTTGATTGCAATTGTTAGCATTATCCAGGCGAGGACAAAAAATTGGCGGTTAACGCACAGTCTCAAGATCATCCAGCTCAATCAGGATGTGCGAAGAATCTCTGTTGGCCACGTCCATCAACATATCCATATACTTGAGTTTGACCTGGCGCTGCTTCCTTGCGCTCCGGGTCTGGGCACCATCCTCGAGGTCATCCATCATATCGTACTCATCGCTGGTGCGGTTGCCATCGATGTTCAAACCCTCCAGGGCCTCGGTCGCAGCAGCCTCGTCAGTAGACTGCATGGTCTTGAAATGCTTCAAGAAGTCCTTGAAGCCGTCCAATTGGGCGGCATAATCAACCGGAGCATGATATTGTTGCAAAGCCATCTTTGGTGGTGGGGGGTTGTGAGATGCGCTCGGTTGAGAAGGAACGCAAAAGTGGTGGGGAGTGGTTTTTGCGGCGAAATGGAGAGCCCCTAGACACACGAGAAACACGAAACGCGTCCAAGACGCGCCAAGGAATTTTGGGAAATTGATCTGATTGGACATCAGCGGACCCACTAATACTTAACCGTTGATCGAGCTATGCTACGGCAACAGTGTAAGCACAGAATCAGTATTAAGGGGGATTTATTGTATGAATTTTATTGTGAGTCTGTCTATGGTCTGATATACATGGTACACGTAGGTCAAAATACATATATCCTATTTGTGGCAAACGGAGCGCAGATTAGCGGTAGTCTTTGTTGAATAAGCTTAAATGTGAACTATAGATGCAAGGGGATTGCATCGGATTTTGACTATTAGTTTGTGTATATGAAAGTTGCGAACGAAAGACCCTGGTCGACGCTAAAGCAGCCTTCACAAATTTCACAGTAAATTTTGCCCCCATATCTCCCTTTAAAAAAAGAAAAAAGGATGTACCTCCTGAACACCTGTGCAAATGGCCATTCCACCAGCATGATTACCATGAAGCCCAGACGAGGCAGCCAGAGATCCCGATCAGGCTGCATAACATGCAAGTATGTGCCCTGCTCCAGATATAGAAACGATCGCTAATGCAAGGCAGAATCCGACACGTCAAGTGCGGGGAGGAAAAGCCATATTGTCAAAAGTGCATCTCCACGGACCGCCAATGCGATGAATACGACAATTAAACCCAATGGGACCATCGGCGCCGACTTGAAGCCTCTCGTGGTCCTTCCACGATACTCAGCGGTGACAACCGCATGGTCTTAGCCCCTGGCAGCAAAGAGGAACGCCAGCTTGTCTATACATTCTTCACACAAGCGTCAGGATCAGTAGCTGGGTCTATTCCTTCCGATCTATGGGCTCGTTTAATACCTCAACTCAGCCATCATAGACCCATGGTTCGTCATGCAATCGTGGCTGTGAGCGCTGCTTACATACAGCAAGCCCAGCCAGCTGGACTAATCTCCGATCGAGCTGGCCGATCTATAACGCAGCAATATAATAAAGCGATTCAAGACTTCATCAAGCCTGCATCCCGGAACCAGTTCGACGAGCTTGAGTTGTTGTTGACCACCTGCGTTTTGTTCATCTGCCTGGAGCTGATCAGAGGAAACCAAGGCCAGGCAATCAATCATACAGAGGGCGGGATACGGATCCTTCAGACATACCAAGCGAAGGCAATTTCCATGGGCAACCTGGCTCGCGAAATATCTCAGTTACTTGCCCGCTTCAACAATCAACTCCCCTACCTGGGCCGACCGCTCATACTCCAATGCGAACCCAATTTGCCGATATATGAGGAAAATTTGCCAATTTGAAAGCGTGCACCAGGCCCGACAAATGGCTGCAAAGCTCAATCGAAGGACCTTGAAATTCAACGAGTCGATACGTCCGAATGAGAATGGTGGATTGATAGATGAAGACCAACAACAAGAATACAAAGCGCTTCTACAGGAGTCAAAGGGCTGGAAAGTGGCCTTTGAGAAACTGATGTCAGATCCAATCAAAAGAGCCCAAATACCCGACCCTCGCGCACCCCTGATCGTCGAAATTGCATGGCGGGTATCTACAGCCTGGGCAAACTGCTGTATACATAAAGAACAGTGCGCTTATGATGGCGAAAAGCCTCATTGGGAGGCAATGGTGAGCTCCGCAGAAGAAGTGCTCCGGCTGAACTCAGATATGGAGTCCAACGACTCACCTCTCACAGGGCTATTCTTTATCGAGGCTGAGATAGTCCCGATGATGTACTACACCGCAATTAAATGCCGTGATCCTTGGATTCGGCGCAGAGCTATCTCTGTCTTGTCACGACATCCCAAAAGAGAAGGCTTTTTCAATGCGACGCTATACCGTAAAGTTGCGGGAAAGATCGTGGAGTTAGAAGAGGCTCCGCTTGCTTCTCTTGGTATCAAACAGAGGGTTCCGCTAGAAGAACATCGTTTCAGCCTGGTACATATATCTCCTACAGATGGCGTGTATAGGAACCCGGTGCCTGTATTCTTGATGATGCAACTACTCGGCCTCGATCATGACGCTGTTACTTGGTGGGAACATGTTGATTGGTAAGAGTGGTCATGGGTCTATTCTTCATGCCTCTGATCTACGACTTTGAATAGGAATGCAACAGAAAAGATACCCTATGTAGGTAAGCGCTACTATTCAACACTACATTATAGAAGCTCATTATCGATAATACTAATGGATTTTGTGAGTCCTCGTAAGTACCATAATTTAAATATTAATCAAGTGCTAAAACGCTGTGAAACATCTTTTAGCCGCGGGATGTATTTCTACATATGAAGCGGATGAGTTCGATGAGGTCCCAATGATGACGATTACTCCCGATTCAATGGACGTGGACGTGTGAGTGGGAGACTAGATGCTCCAAGGGCAGTTTGGGGAGGAAATGGAGTATATCGCCGCGGAGGCGAAGATGGTTCAGTAGCAGGTAATTCAATCGGATCCCGATCAGCTCGCAATTCAACCAATGGCGAGGACAATACATGTGATGGCACCAGATGCTGTTGAATCTGCCAATTTTGCGTCTCTTCAAGCGATGGAAGTTCAACCGGCACCTGCTCAAATTGAGTCCCAGCTGATTGGCGCCTATCCTGACGAATCTGCTCGGGCGAGGGCAATTCTGCTGTGAAATGCTGTAGATCTCTGAATTCGGGCATTGTAAGGTCGCGACCGAGATGTCGTTTGAGGAGTTCATGGAGGATGAAGCGCTCTGCAACGTTTCCTTGGGCTTCAACAAAAGAAATCCGGGGATTGATCTCGCTTATACGTTGTAACTTGTTTGCATGACGGTGGTGACTGAGACTGCCTTCGACGCCGATCAGAAATATAGTAGTATATGCCCAAGAGAGACCCAGAAGCTCGAGTTCAAATTCATCCATGTCGCTTGCTTCGCCGTCAAGTATGAGAAGTAATCGTAGATTGGGTGTTTCTGGGCCAGGCTGCCATCCATAGATTGGATGGTATTTTGCTGTGTTGAAGTGTTTTTGGAAATGCAGTTCCTTTATCTTTGCCCACCCTGTCATGACTCGCGTCCGTCCACCAAATTTGACCTTTTCCCAAACTTCATTCAAATTCCATCCATTGACGGACCCTAAGTAGCTTGCCTGGCTGGAAAAAGTGACCAGTGGATAGCCTTGCCATCCGTGGTCATGATTCCCTAGTGCGTGAATAAAGCGACGAATTATTGTTTTTGCAAGATCTGAGTGTGAGATTAGCCAATGATATGCAGGGGAACACTTGGCTAAATTTACCTTTGTTTTTTGGCTGGCTAGTTTTGACAAAACCAGTGATGAGATATTGATTATAGTTTGGCCGTGCGGGGTTGAAGTCCATAGAGCCCGAAACATCCAATAAAATCATTGTCTCATCCGTCGACGACATCGGGGTGTTCCACTTGAAAGTGGACCTGACCTGTTTTGAGTAGCCATGAGAGGTATTCTGCACATGACAGATGTCCTCAGGATCGTAATATGCTGGTGGTATATCCAATGCCGACTCCATTCGAGTACGAGCCATGTCTAGCGCCGAAATAATATCGGGCTTCATAACGACACCGCCTCCATCCCGGTTGCTCAGGGTCCAGTACAATCGTTCTTCGGCGGTGTTGTCATAGCCTCTCCATGCAGGCGTGATTCCTCTCCATCCCACGGCAGCATCGATGGAGAACCTCAAGGGATTAGATGTCTGTGTTTCTTCACTCCAGGATTTAGGAATGGGCTCAAAATATCCCGCCCGTAGGAGGTGGAGATATTGAAGAGGTTGATGTGTGCGAAGCTCGTAGACTTTCAATGAGATTCCAACAGTTTGCTGGTAGACCGACACAATATGTCTATCATAGTCGTCTGGCCATCGGCCTTCCTCTTCAGCGAGGATTTCCTGGCGACGCTCGAGTCCCCCCGAAAACTTTCTTTTAAAGTTGCCAGCAGCTCTTTCATCGGAGCTCTTCACCGACAGAGCCTTCTTAAAGGTTGCACGCTTTGAAGGTTTATCACTTTGGTTGTGAGCATTTGCCATATTTGAGACCAAAGACTCTAGATGTTCAAGATCCCAGATGTTAAAGGATGGCTCTAGGGCCTGGACAGCGATCTTTGCCTTTGCATTCAGACTCGCATCGAGTGCTATTGTCTGCTGGAGAAAGGTGGCGTGGTTCTGTGGATCAGGTCGGACGGTACCAGATAGCGTTGCTCCTGGGAGTCCATATGGCGAAATAATCACGGTTGAGTACGGGTTGTTCTTGAACAGGCGCAAATGTGTACAGTCGTCGTACGGCTTTTCTCCGGGATATATGACGGCTTTAGACCACATCTCCTGAGTTTGAAGGCGATCAATTTTCCGTTTCAGGTATTTGTGCACGGCACAGTCGCAGAGCTCATTTGTCTCATGTTCGGGCTCGATCTCAGCATTCCAGATCTGACAGGATAGTTGCACACTGTGAAGTGTGTTTTGCATATCCTGCTCATCTTGAACTCTAATATTTGCAGCTTCAATCAAAGCATTGCTGTGAGATCGGCGTGTCCCGTTCTGGGTTGTTGTCACACCAGGTGATTCCAGGCTTGCATTCGTCACGCTGATTGATGCCCTCTTACTCGGAGGGCTGACGGGATATGACTGATATGCTGGAGGGGGAGAAGCGGGCGGCGTGACCGTGGCCACTACATGACTGAAATTGACGGAGTTGATCGAGCTGCGCATAGAGGAAGGTGGTCGGTGATTATTGTATCGGTCCATGTCGTAGTATTGATCCGCGACACTATGTGCAACACGTTTCAATTAGTTGCTTGAAGGATCAGCCAGCCCTTGCAGGAGGTCTCTGTCAGAGCACACACACAAGCCGATGCCGCGGCGTCCGGCACGAAGGCCAAATTAGGATTGCTATGCTCGAATATGCGGTTGTAACAGTATAACCAGTCGACATTTATTCCAGCGGATGGACAGCTATAAAACGCCGGGGCAACACTAGGCTCGTGCTCCCGACTTCGTCAGAGAGCGACCCCTCGCCCCCTGCATGCCATGTGGCACAGTCACCCCCGTCAACGATATCCGTCTGAACTAAATTTATATTACGCGCACGTGGTGGCAGGCCGTCAGATTAGTGGGTCGGCGCGGTGGATCCCTTGCGGCTCGGCGGTCCAAGCACTGGCCAATTTATGCGATAGGTGGGAATGATCGGAACATTACGCATTTCCATGCTTTGGAGCCGCACTCGTGGTATTCTAAATGTTCTCTGGGGTTTCTCCTAGATTCAGTCGAAGGAACAGCTGTCGTGGTCCTCAAGTGCCCATCGCTACTAGACCCTCTCGGGGTACTTCCAAGGTTGGCACCTGCTACTGGAAGCCTGTAGAACTGATCTTAGGTGCGAAGGGGATATCCTGGACTCGGACGTATTGCACGGTCCACATCGGCTGTGGATTACATCTGAGATCGGCAAACCTTGGAACCCATTTTTAGCGACTACGGCGACCTCCATCCACTTATTCAGGTGACATGTCCAACCTTAACTATAAGTCGGATTGTTATTGTTATACCTTCTTGCATAACCTTCAACCGTTGACCTTTTCTTCTAGCTGTGCCTACCTAGCCCCCACTTTACCATGTCGACAAAATGGAATTGGATTATTGTCAGTTGGGGCGGTTGTTTGAAACAATATCTGATCTGCTCAGAAGGCTCCAAGATTAATTCTGTGTTTTAGGTAGAAGCGCCAAGTCTTGAAAGCGCGACAGGCTGAAATTATACGGGCGGAACATATCACCAGACTTGGACCAGATCGGTCTTCTCACTTTCGAAAGTATCGCGAATAGAGAACTCAACCGCCGCGATAATTAGAATATCATATAAATAGTAGCTATTCGTCTGAATTAAACATAGATCGAAAAGCAGTAGGCGAGATATTTCTGTAACCTTAGAAAGTCGGAATAAGCTGCGATATGCAGAGATCAGGATGGGTTAGTGAATGTTCGCTTACAACCAAAAAGTATGGGAAACTTTTCAACCATGAGCCCTGCTGGCCGGGTGGTCTGTGTCCCTGGGCAGTTCTTGGCCAAGTTTGCTTGGTACTCGGCTGCTAACTGAGGTAGTTTCGGTCTGAGAGCGTGGCTCAGGGTAACTGGAGAATGGGTTCCGACCTACATGCTGGGGGAGTGACCAGTATGCATCTTCTTCCTGTCATAACTCGCTCATATACTTTGACTGCTTCCAATGTTCTGAGTAGACCAAGGCTGGCGGCTTATATATTGCTCCAGTGATCTTTTTTGTGGGCCATGTTATCCATTAGAATTGACTTTTGCCCTCTATCTAGCATTAGTAAACACGACAGATAACTTAACGTATTTCACAAGCGAGCGGGACACCCGGTCGGCCGGGACACCCCATCAACTTCAATTAATTCAAACCAGCACAATTCACCCGAAATAACGTAATATTGAATATCTAAGCTATTTAACCAGTTTTGGACAATGCGTTCTTTTATGCCCTTGGATATTACATTCTAAGCACCTTAGTGGAGCCCGACGTCGTGGTTCTTGACCTGGATTTTGACTAGTTAGCTCTCTATCTTGAGGTTGAATTTACGGATTTTTAACCTTTTGGGCTAATTCTTTGAGCTCTGCCACTGATAGACCTTCTGAATGAGCTATCTATTGCTTTGATCTTGCCTTTTTCTGCTTCTTTTTTTCGTTTCTAGCACGTAAAAGCTCGTTTTCTCGAGCAAGAAAAGCGGTAGATTGCATTATGATTTAGCAAGCTTTTAGCACTTGATTAATAGCAGAATTCAACGGGCTTAGTGGGCTCTTAGAGCGTTTTTCTAAGAGCTTTTTGATTGAAGAAGCTTGCTTCTGGAGTTGTTTATAATTTGATGGTGTTTTTGGCTCCCACGCGCTGCTTTCGCTCCCTTAAGAAGGTGGTGGTGTGGGTGTATAGAGTCGAATATTAAGCTTTGAAATCACTCGATTTAGATCATATAGTACTAATCTAGTTGCTAAGAAGCTATTTTGGATTGTTTCTGGCTTGAATGCCTTGTTTCGAGCGATTGGAAAAGCGTCGAGAAAGTCTAATTTGTCGATATGGTTCACTCTAATCCGCATCAAATTTTCAACGATTTAACCGTACGCGCGCTTAAGAACCGTAAAATAACCTATATTAAGAGGTTGTAAAAGATGAGAAGAGTGCGGTGGCATATAAATCGGAATCACATCATTTTAATAGCAAATTTCATCAAATTTTGGAGTTAAATGGCTCCCGTGACCGTCGAGAACTAGGAGTCGATATTTCCCCTTTATTCTTAAGAAAGTCGATGGAAGAAAGACCTTTTTAAGCCAGCGAAGGCTAATTTCGTCTAAGGTCTATCTATTTAGGCTAACCTTAAATTGCTAGTCGTTCGGAAGTTTATCAGCCTAGCTTACGATAAAAACTTTACCCTTAAAGATAATCATTAAAGGGAGGCTAAATCCAGACGCGCCTATATACTTAATTGAGGTTACCTATTCACGATTTCTAGGCTGTAAAAGAGCGCGCCGACCGTAATATTTAGCTCTTGTCATAACTTTTGTGGTCGCGGTTAAGCCTATCGTAAAGCCCGTCTCATTAAAATTATAGATATCATTTAGATCAATCCCGTTATTATGAATCGTCTTTTAAACGAGATTAAACCATTCTCTTATGATTTTTGGATCTTTATATTTTACGCGTGCGTAATTATAGCGTCTCGAGAACTATATATTAAGCTCTAGGTGTCGTTTAACATAATTTGTTACCTAATTCTTGCCGACGGTTTGAATCGGGGTCGTTCCGCGTGTCGCGAGTAAGAGATTAGCCATTTCTTGTACTATTTTAGGTCGCGGTGCCGCTCCTCGGTTATCTATAGAAAGTACCTATTTCTCTAGCGAATTCTCCTCGATTTCGGTTAATTTAAATAAATTCGGGCGGGATTCGACGCGGTTTTCGCGTCCAACAAGACGGGCATGAAGTGTTGATTTTGGAACGTCATATATACGTGCTGCCTCACGAATTAATAGCTTATCCTGCTTTTTAAGAGCCTGGATAGTAAGTAAAATCCGGCCTTCTTGATGTGTTAAATTCTGACGATTTTGAGAGCGAATTGGTGGCATAGTAGGTGGTTGGATAAGAAAGGTATGATTAATTGACGCGTTTTGGTTGGGGTGTCCTGGCCGACTGGGTATCCCGCTCGCTTGTGAAATACGTTAACGTATTTCACAAGCGAGCGGAACACCTAGTCGGCCGGAACACCCCATTAACTTCTAATAATTCAAGCTAGAATATTTCAGCCGAAAAAACATGGAATTCAGTATCTAAGCTATTTAATTAAATTTAGACAATGCGTTCTCTTATGACCCTGAATATTACACTCTGAGTACCTTGGTAGAGCTCGTCGTCGTGGTTCTTGTGCCTCTACTTGACTGGTTGGCTAGTTGATTAGAGGTTGAAATTGAGCATTTCTATCATTTTGAGCTAATTGATTAAGCTTAGCGATAGAAAGGCCTTCTAGAGCTGCTATCTGGAGCTTAGAACGTGCTTTTTTTTGCTTAATTTTCTTATGCCTAGCCCGTAATAGCTCGTTTTCTCGAGCGAGGAAAGCGGTTGATTGCATTGTGATTTGGCACGCTTTAAGAACTTGATCTATAGCTGAATTCAACGAGCTTGGTGGGCTCTTAGAGCGCTCTTTTAAGAGCTTTTTGATTGAATCAGCTTGCTTTTGAAGTTGCTTGTAATTTAATGGTGTCTTTAGCTCCTATGTGCTGCTTTGGCTTCCTCGAGATGCTGGTGGTGTGGGCGTATGGAGTTGAATATTGAGCTTTGAGATCACTCGATTTCGATCATATGGGACTAAGCTAGTTGCTTTAAAGCTATTTCTGATCGTTTCTGGCTTAAAAGCCTCGATTCGTGCGGTTGGAAAAGTGTTGAGAAAGTCAAGCTTATTAATATGGTTCTGACCACATCGCATAATATCCTCGACACACTTCCCGTACGCACGCTTTAAAATAGCAAAATAACCCATATCAAGAGGTTGTAAAAGATGTGATGAGTGTGGTGGCATGTAAATTGGAATTATATGATTTTGAGAGTAAATTTCGTCGAATTTTAGAGTTAAATGGCTTCTATGACTGTCGAGAACTAGAAGTCGATATATTCCCTTAGTCCTCGAGAAAGTCGAGGGAAGAAAGACTTTTTTAAGCTAATAAAGTCTAATTTCATCCATGGTCTATCCTCTTTTACTAACCTAGAATTGCTAGTCGTCTGGAAGCCTATCACGCCAGCCTTAAATAATCATTTTACCCTTAAAGATAACCATTAGAGGTAGGCTATATCTAGACGCGCCTATACACTTAATCGAGGTTACCTATTCACGATTTCTAGGTTATAAAAGTGGACAGCGCTAACCACTAGTATCCACTCTTATGATAACCTTCGCGGTCGCGGTTAAACCCATCGCGAAGCCTATCTTATCAAAGTTATAGATATCGTCTTGCTCAATCCCATACTTAAGAACTGTCTTTTGAACCAGGTCAAACCAGCCATTAATAACTTTAGGGTCCTCGCATTTAGCACGCTTATAATCGTAGCGTCTTGAGAACCTTGTTTTGAGTTCTAGGTGTCGTTTAATAAAGTTCGTAACCCAGTTTTTGCCAACGGTTTAAATTAAGGTTGTTCCACGAGTGGTAAGTAAGAGATTAGCCATTTCTTGCACCATAGAAGGTCGTGGGGCCGCTCCACGTATAGCCATAGATATGACCCATTACTTAAGCGAATTCTCCTCGATTTCAGTCAATTTGAACGAATTTGCGCGTGATTCGACGCGGTTTTAACGTCCACGAAGACGTGCGTATAACGTTGTATGGGGGATATCATATATAAGCGCTACTTTGCGAATTGAGAGCTCTTTCTACGTTTCAAGAGCCTGGATAGCAACTAAGATTCGTCCTTCTTGTTCTATCAATTTTTGACGATTTTGAGAGCGAATTGGTGGCATGGTGGGTGGTTAAAGAAGAAAGGTCTAATTAATTGACGCGTTATGGTTGGGGTGTTCCGGCCGACCGGGTGTTCCGCTCGCTTGTGAAATACGTTAACTAACTTTACAGTTTACCCCGGATTGATGCCTGGATGCCTGATGCACTTTCAGCCGAGGTTCACCGCAGACCGATTCCCGGGCGGTGACCTTAGAGTAAAGACCCCGGGGAATGCCCCGTTCCCCACCTCCGTCTTCCTGTGAACAGCTCTGAACATGGCGCCCAAGAAGCCCTCGACGACGGCGGAAGTCGCTCTGATTCCCTTGAAGAACTGTCTCGTCAATCTACCACCATCTCTTGTCTCCTTGCTGGTCAATGCAAACACGGTGAGTTCCCGAGGCCGCTCTCGCTCGCTTTCCCGGCTAATTCATGTGATTGCAGACTGCCCAGAATGTCATAATTGAATTACAATTCAAGTCCACGACTGGAAAATCTAATGGGGCTCCGCCACAGCGATCATGCTTCTTGGGCTGGACAGGCATGCCGAGTAAGCGCAGGCTTGCGCCGGTAGTGGGCCGCGACGGTATCAGCACCGGGTACAACAGAGAGCAGCAGGAGGTCTCGACCGTGGAATTGGACACGACATTCGCAAGGCTTATTGGCCTCGTTGAAGGGCAGAAGGTAGGTTCTACGATATCATCGGTGAGCTCGTGTGGATGCTAATCCCTTACAGGTTGGGCTACTCGTGCATCTTGATCCACCCGTCGCGCATACTATCAACATCGAGCCATTGACACCAGAGGACTGGGAAAGTAGGTTTCCATGAAATCCAGAACTCGTTGATCTCGGCTAACTTACTGCTTTATTAAAGTTATTGAGCTGCATGCTACCTTTTTGGAACTCAACCTATTGTCACAGATTCGCGCGCTCCCAAATCCTTCCTACACTGAGGCGCAATCGGAGCACATGCATCCGCTTGCCCTGCATCTCTCACCCACATCGACCGCGAATATCGTTGTCACCTCCCTTGATCCCGCACCGTCATCTACATCACCGTTCGCAAAGATCGCGCCCGATGCAGAGGTCATTGTTGCTCCGAAAGTTCGATCGAAGACCAGTAAATCATCACGAGGGGACAGCCGAAGTAACGCTGGAAGCAGCAGAAAGAGCGCTGGTGGTCGGAGTGCTTCAAGCACAGTCCGCCCGAAGAGTAGTCGATCTGACTCCAGCAGTCGAGGTGCTTTGTACCTCCGCGGCATAGACCGTCAGGCGGCTGATGAACTCTTCGATGCTGAAGTGGATGAAGACGAGAATGACGGGCTGCGTATCTGGGTGGATCCGGACATGTTGGCCTCTCATGAACTTCGAGGCGCAAGCTGGGCGTGTGTCTCGATTGTGCAGCCGTCGGGGCTCAAACCTCCGGTTGATCCCCAACAACAACTGGCCCAGCAAGAACAGAAGTCTCAGGAAGCTGGCTCGCCTACCAGTAAACTGGTAGCAAAGCTACTTCCATGGGAAGATGCTCCAGACAATCGGCACGTTGCGATGTCCACGTTGTTGTCTACGGCCCTTGGTGTGGAAAACATGGTGGGTGGAATCGTGCGTGTGGAGGCGGCCCCACCACAACTACATCGCTCAGCGGTTAAAACACTTAAGGTGTACCCGTTTATGTTTGATGCCTCCAAGAAGAAGGACGGGCTCAAATTCGGCTCTGACACTGCCGCTTCTCGGGATGCCTTGGCCGAACGTCTCAAAGTGATCTACGGCAGCACTGGGTCTGATGTTGGATTGTTCTCAGGGCCTTTAACCGATGGCATGATTCTACCCCCGGTTGAAAACCATCCTGCAGTATCTTCCTTTGATGGGGCTATCCTGCGATTCGATCCCCCTTTAAAGGGAGGATCGGATGAGACGAAGTCGATGTTTGGGTGGCTCCTAGGCTCCGAAGCTATACTCAACCTTGAGGTACAAGCCGAGATATCCAAACCATCCGATTCGGCATCATCGGCTCTCCCAACCGATGATCCAATTCCAGAGAGTGCACCTCAACTGGTGGGAATTGATCCCATCATATCTCAGTCTCTGGGTAATCTGACGAAGTCTTCGTCTATCCTATTGACCGGTGGGCTTGGCGCTGGAAAGACGGCGCTCGCGCACCTCCTGGCCCATCGCTTGCGTAAGGACCATCTTTTCAATGTCAAGTACTTCTCCTGTCGCAAGCTTGTGACCGATGAGACTCGTATCTCGAACATCAAGGAGGTTCTCAACCGCCTTTTCATGTCTGCTTCTTGGTGTGCTCGTCTCGGTGGACAATCTGTCGTGATTCTGGATGATCTCGACAAATTGTGCCCCGTAGAGACCGAATTACAAGTTGGCGGAGACAACGGACGCAGTCGTCAGAACAGCGAGGTCATTTGCTCCATGGTCCGAGAATACTGCTCCTTGAACTCCTCAGTTGTCCTGTTGGCCACGGCTCAGGCTAAAGAATCTTTAAATAATGTGATTATCGGTGGCCATGTCGTTCGGGAGATCATAAACATGAGAGCCCCTGACAAAGAGGGCCGTCGGAAGGTGCTGGAGAAACTTACCAGCCAGGACAAAGCCACCGAGACCCTCAATGGTCATACACGGACGACTAGTTCCTCTACGCAGGACTCGTGGCTCGATCCTTCAAACCCTGGAAGTCGTCCCAGTTCCTCTGGTGGAGATGGCTTTGTTCTCGGCAGGGACGTAGACTTCCTTGAGCTTGCTGGTAAGACTGACGGCTATATGCCAGGCGATCTCGTGCTCTTGGTTGCCCGGACTCGCAACGAAGCCCTCATCCGCTCCGTTCAGGATTTGTCCACCGACTCGAAGATGATCACTCTTGGGCTTGAAGATTTCGAAAGCGCATTGAAGGGGTTCACCCCAGCATCTCTTCGTAACGTCACCCTCACTTCATCTACTACTACCTTCTCATCCATCGGTGGCCTGTTCGAGACCCGCAAAATGCTGCTGGAGACGCTTCAGTATCCCACAAAGTATGCACCCATCTTTGCGCAGTGCCCTTTGCGACTTCGATCGGGTCTTCTTTTGTACGGCTTTCCCGGTTGTGGTAAGACGATGTTGGCCAGCGCAGTGGCAGGCGAATGTGGCTTGAACTTTATCAGTGTCAAGGGTCCTGAGATTTTGAACAAGTACATTGGTGCCAGTGAAAAGAGCGTTCGTGATCTGTTTGAAAGGGCGCAGGCCGCACGTCCTTGCGTCCTGTTCTTTGATGAATTCGACAGTATCGCCCCGAAGCGTGGACATGACTCCACTGGTGTCACTGACCGCGTGGTTAACCAGCTTCTCACCCAAATGGACGGAGCGGAGGGTCTCTCAGGCGTGTATGTCCTGGCTGCAACTTCTCGACCAGATCTAATTGATCCGGCTCTTCTTCGTCCCGGTCGTCTGGACAAGTCTCTTCTCTGCGATATGCCATCCCACGCGGATCGGATCGACATTATCAAAGCCGTTAGCGAAAAGCTGAAAATGAGTGACGACGTTGCAGCTCGCTTCGACGAAGTCGCCGCCCAAACTGAAGGATTCTCCGGCGCCGACATCCAGGCTGTGGTGTACAATGCGCACCTGGAAGCCGTGCACGACGCATTGGGTGACCGCACTGCCGACAACACCAAAACTAATTCGAAACCCGCCTCGAAGTCTTCCCCGAATACCTCCAGCAGATCATTCATTCAATTCCTCTACTCCTCATCCGAAGAAGCGTCCGGTAAGGTTTCCATGCCCGCTCCAGCCATGGTTGCAGCGAAGCTAGACGCAATCAAGAACTCGCGACGCCGTCAGCGCCAGCTCGAGAATGGCACTGCTCCTTCCGGGCCAGCGAATCCTGCCCAAGCTAATGGAACCGAGTCCGGTCCGGATGAGCTCCGTGACGAGATCGTTGTCCGGTGGGAGCACGTTGAACGTGCCCTCAAGACGACCCGTTCATCGCTTAGCTCTACGGAACGCCGGCGGTTGCAGGGCATCTACCGAGAGTTTGTGGTCGGGCGTAACGGCGAGATGCCCAATGGTGAAGCAGGAAATGAGATTGGAGGGCGCACGAGTCTGATGTGATCATCGCTTGCAGGCCTTCGCCTACAGAGTTCTGTAGATCGGGACCTTGAGAGTGTATTTATTTGTATATATTACATTTGCATGTTTTGAACTATCTCTTTCCTGTACCAATTGATCCTGGCATGAACATTCCCAACAGCAAAGTATCTTTCCTCGATGATACATGTACTTTTGTACAGTAACTTCCATAGCTTTCAAGTCAATTGTCCGCCCTAAATGGCAAGTTAAAGCCCGTTATTGGACGCTACTCCTATTTCGACCATAGCGCTCTGTGACCGCTACCTCTCATGTCAGATCTCGCGGGAAAGCCGTCGGAGGGAGTCGTCAGTCTCCACCTACTTTTAAAATATTATATTACGTTTCTGCCTGTTCAATCAGCCTGATCGGTGCTAAAAAATGTCCGTCGAAGGAATGCAGAGAGTTTTAGGTAGGGGCGGATAAGCATTCTAGAACCACCGAGACGGAAATTTCCATGAAGGATCGGCAAGTCCACAACACCCCAGGTTTCAAGCCTCCAAGCGACATTATTATCGATGTAACCAAGATCCGTAATCCGACGCCGTAGAAGATCCGCCTTCCCATTGAAGAAACCCTTATCTTGGCAGGATCTTGATAGCGGCCGGGTCCCACGCTAATAGAATCAGCGGCGGACAAGATCGGAAACGTCCGAGCGGTCCCCATCAAGACCTCACTATAGTATAAGCCACGAGAGAAGAGAATCATGCCCTGAATGATATCATTGGAACCCAGATCACCTTGTCATTTCCTAAGAATAGGCATACATCATAGGCAACGAGAATAAGGGTGTGCGCCACGTTGGTTGACGCAAGCACCCATGACCAGAATCTTCAGGTTGGACGACTTGGTAGGTACAGATGCAGGCACCGACGCCAAAAGTAAAAACCACGGCAGTAGTGGCAACGCCAAGGACCCTCGCGGACTCGGACGGATGCTCCGTACGGATAACCCACGCTTTGTCGCGATGTGGGGATGCCAAGGGCAACGGCTGCTTATTGCATGCCTTGTCACTGGGGAATCCAGGCTTCGGTTATTCTCAATCCTCAAAGTGACAGGTTTTGTGTAGAATGCCAAGGAGAGGACACATCATTGGCTTGGGGAGTGGAGTTGATGAGGTGTAGAATCTTGAATCTGGTGATGGTTTCGCAATGGTTCAGGTCTAGAAAACCATAAAATGGGAAAAATGATTCCATCGGACATAGTTACTTTTTCAAGCGGTGGAGCAACAAAGCCCAAGCAAGGTTCCAGTAGTCTAAACAGACGATGTGAGGGGAGACAGTTGAACAGGCAATAGTTCGGAGATAATGTAGATCGAATAGAAGAGCAGCCAGTTCTATTGCCAATTGTGTCTTGTTCCCTGCACTTGTCCAGTACGGCCTAGTATGCTTGATAAGGATGGGATTTACCAGCTAAGCTTGTTACGTACGCTCGGGGCTGGTCCCTTGGGAAGGGATCGACAACGCTAACCATCGTCCCATGACGCTCATTGGTCAAAGGCGGTGGCATTAAGTCCGAGACCCTCCTGATCCTTCTGCAACTTATCAAGTGGGTCCCAGTGTTAAGTCATACCAAGATGCATTCTGAAAGGCAGCGAGGATTACTATACCCCAAACGCCATTGCTCAATGCCGTGGTCCAATGAAGGATTCTGACTTGCAGAATTGCCCGGGCCGTTGAGGCTGGACAAGCCCGCACAGCCGAAGCGATGTCGCGTCCTCCCGGGTGCAGATCCCAATATACGCTTTCTCGGGGTTACTGGGAGTGCAGAACTCCAGAACCCCCTTCAACGGAGGAACCGGGGAGGAGCCCGAGGTGTGCCAAGTGGAGAAAGCCAAGACGAAGCCTTTCATACTTATATCCGCGTCAATCCTCTCCATTTCTGGGCTTTTCAACAGCATCCGCCTTCATCTTTCTTTCCCAACTCCTTTGTCTTTATTTGACTGGGCGAGATGCGATTTTCTGCTGCTCTTGCCGTTGCAGCTCTCGCAGCTGGCTCTAGTGCTGCCAGCTGCCCCTATGCTGAGCGTGCCGCCGCTGCCGCTGCCGCCCCGGGCTGCCCATATGCGAAGCGTGCTGCTGAGGCTACTGCGCAAGATGCCCAGGCCCCTCGACTTCCCAAGCGAGGACCCATCGAGGGCAAGAAGGGTATCTTTTACAGTGAGTGCTCCCTGTTGAGTCTATAGGAGATCTATACTAACTTATACCAGTGAACCGTATCGGACCTTCCGGCTCACAATTATGGATTGCCAATTCCGACGGTAGCAATAAGACTCAATTAATGGGCAACCAGACCAATGCCTTTGACTACCATCCGTCCTGGTCACAGGACGGCGAGTGGATTGTCTTCACAAGCGAGCGTCGTGGAGCCGGCCAGTCTGATTTGTACCGCGTGCGACCAGATGGAACCGGGCTGGAGACTCTTGCTGATACAAACTCGGTCGAAGATGCCGGTGTGCTGTCGCCGGATGGCACTCAGCTCGCCTATGTTTCGACCCAGGGCAACTACACCACCAACATTTGGGTCAAGGACCTGAAGACCGGTCTCGCACACAACCTGACCGACACCGCTGCTACCCGCAGCAGTAACATCTGGCCTTCTGGTCACTTCCGTCCGTCTTGGTCTCCTGACGGAGAGTGGATCACCTTCAGCTCTGACCGCGATACTGATTGGACCGGCCACAGTGACGGTACTGGCTGGGAGCACACCCAGAACCTGGGTGTGTACGTGATTAAGAAGAACGGCAAGGACTTCCGCAAGCTGGTCTTCGAGGATGGCTTTGCATTCGGTACCCCCCAGTTCTCAAGCGACGGCAAGCGTGTCATCTATAACAACATCACTCGCGAGGGTACGTACTCTGCTCACGGTGTCTCCGAGCAGCAGGCGGCCATCGAGTCCCAGATCTACAGTGTCGACTTCGCTACTGGCAAGAAGATTCTCGCCCACACTTCCGGTAGCTACCCCAAGTTCGGTCAGCACCAAATTGCCAACTCTAGCAATATTGGTTACTTCATCAAGGCCGGAGACTACGAGGGAATTCACTACACTAAGCCTGATACTACCCACAAGACCTTCAACCTGACCAACCTTCGTGACCCCTGGTGGTCCCCCGATGGTTCCAAGATTGTCTACAGTATCCCCAACTGGACCCAACAAGCTGCCGACCTGGAACTGTTCAGCTACAATAATGACTGGGCCTACCGCTACATGGACGTCTTCCCCCTCCACAACACCGTCGTCAACCGGATCGCAAGCACCCAGAAAGTCCTCGGTAGCGCCAACGGCTCAGCAGTCTCCTCCGACCCCCTCTATAACGACGTCGTCGCAGCCTTTAACTCCTACGACATTTACTCCACCAGCAACTCCTCTGAGGTCCTACTCCTAACAGAGGGCGAAGCCGGTGCCTTCCAGCCCACCTGGAACCCCGACGGAACCGAGATGCTAGTCGGCTTCGGCGGCTGGTTCGTCGACCGTGTCGATATCCCCGGAACCATCATCCACGCCTACGCCAACGGCAGCTCCTTCACCAGCTTGACCAACACCTCCGAGAACTCCGGTTTCCCTTCTTGGTCCCCCGATGGGTCGGCTTACGTCTACCGTCTCTGGAACTTGGAGACTGGTGCTCCGGAGGGTCTGAAGATCCACAACTTCACCACTGGCAAGACTCACAGTCTAACCGATGGCTGGGATAACACTCCCGGCTGGTCTCCCGATGGAGAGCGGATCGTGTTCACCCGTAACAACAACTGGACTGTCTCGTACGGATCCCGTTGGTACGCGGATCGCTTCGATATCTACACTATCCGTCCTGATGGCTCCGAGTTGACTCAGTTGACTGACAGTCTGTCAAACGATGCCCAGTATGTCTACCCCAGCCCCATTTATCACCGTTGATATGTATCTTATACTGACTTTTCCTTTAGCGCTGTCTGGTCCCAGGATGGCCGTATCATGTGGAGCACCGGTATGTACGGCTTTAAGGATGAGAGCTCACTCTTCGACAACACTTTCCAGCCTTATGGACAGATTATGGTTATGAACTACGATGGCACCAACAAGACTTTGCTTACTGATACTATTTGGGAGGATTCAATGCCGCTTTATATTCCCAACGAGTATCTTGAGTAGCATTGCTGCAGTTAGAATTGATTCCAAGTGTATATAGTTGATCTCATGAAATTGTGACATTCCAGTCTCAATAAAATTATTTTCACGATTACTTAAAGTCTCTAAAAATTCTAGTTTCAAGATTATTCCAAGAGTTTAAGGATTATCCTCCTGTCTAAGTCTATGGAGTCTACCTAGTACACCCGATAGCCAGGTGTTCGGTGAGCTACTCCCTCTCCAAAGCAACCTCAACAACCTTCTCAAGTTTCTTCCAAGCCTCGGCAAGCATCCCCTTAGCCTGCGCATTCTTACTCAAATCAATCCCTTGCGCCCGAAACTGCTCATTTACCTGCCCGAAATTCGCCCCAACAAGCCTCCTGAACCCAGGCACAGTACAGCTTTCTAACTGCCGACTCGCCAAATCAGCAAGCACATACCAAAGCACAAAATGGAAGTTAATCCCATAATCCTCTAGCTTGACCGGATCCAGCGGGCTATTCTCGAAACTCTGCGAGAGGTAGATGGCTAGTTTAGCTAGGATCCACGCGTGGAGGTGTCGGATTGGATGGGCGGGGCTGTAGAGTACGGGATCAACCCGTAGGTAGCGGATAGCAGCGTGGATAAATGCGGCACTGAAGTTGTTGGTTGCGAGGTAGGAGAGAATGAGCTGGTCCCGGAGCTGAGGGTATGGTTGGCGGGTTAGTGGCCAGTGTGGGTGAGACGCCAGGCGGTTCAGAGCTGAAGTTAGGGATTTGATTGCGTCTTGCGGGGCTTCGTCTGCGGCGGATTGGAGGAGTTGGAGAGCTTCGCGCTCTGCTACGTCAACCAAGGCCGTTGGGTCGTCTGTTCCGGCTGTTGAGAGGGTTTCGCTTTCCGGGGCATTTGTGCATTTTGGGCACTCGCATGTGAAAAAGTAGCGTTCTGAAAGCTCGCCGCGGCGGACGTGACAGGGGGTTGTGGTGTCGATGTAGGAGACGAAGATCTGTTCACCCTTTTGAATGGGCTTGAGAGCTTTGATGTAGAGCTCCTCGCCGTCGAAGCCGACTGTGGCGTTGTAATCGCAGCTGTGGTTGATTAGAGCTGCGTATGGATGGAAATAGAGACCGATGCGGTCGTATAGAGCTGTTGTGAGGTTGAAAGAATTCAGGTCTAGCTGTTAGGGTCTCAGCATATATCCTTAGGATTATGTTGAGGCGCGGAGAGACATACCCGGGCGGCATAAGCAAGTATAGCTTCCTCGGTCATGTCGGTTTCGGAATAATTCTTGACAGCTTTGGATGTGAGGGTAACACGCTCCATTTGCGTCTTATTCTTCCGGATCTCGGCGATATGAGTCTCCAAGTTTGAGAAAATGCCCAATTCCTGAGGCGAGTATTTGCCCTTCCCAGTGCGCAAGACCATGCGCAATAAAGCGCGAGCATTGTTGGGCAAGATCTGAGGCTGCAGCTTCTGGAAGATTTTACATTCCATAGAATGGGCAAATTTCCAATCTTTCGATTGACAGGCCTTTTAATCGGAAATCAGTACTGAGCGGGAGAATATAACATATTCAAAGGAATGCAAAAAAGGGCAAAATCAATACATCCCGCAATCAACCCAACTATAGACCGAGACTACAAACTCACCCGATCACAATACCTAACCACTCGACACCCAGTGCAAGCTTTCAAATCGGCATTTCCCTCCTGCATCTGCCGTTTGCCGAAACAACCAGAGCAGGTATCGTCTAGACGAGAGGAATCTAGAACCGCGACGAAAGGTGTTTGGGCATGCACGACATCCCCACCAACCTTGATATCCTCGGTCGCGAACAGACCATTGCCCATGCCATTAGGGGCAGGGCCTGGAACTGTCTTGGTAGTAACTGATGGCAGGGAATTTTGAGACGACATTTTGAGATTTTAAGGTTGAAGTGATTGAGATGGTTTCAATGAGGTTGTTGATGAGCTTAGTCAGCCTCGCTTGCGCCTCTGAGAAGAGTCTTGTATAGACGTCATTTGCACAAGAGCAGACAGAGAAATTGTACGAAGTTGAAATACATGACTACAGATCCCAAAGACTGTCGGATCGCATAGCCAATACTGAATTAGATTTCATACCTGAGCTCGGACCGGAGTGGCCAGTCGATCATGCTCAGGAATGGAATTTAGCACATGATATCGATGTCATGATCAGATCAATGTGCTTTGTTTGTTCTTTGGGAAACAATTCGTTGTCTGCTTTCCAGCTGAAGAAGAGACAGCACGTCCCATGCCCTACATCAGGTGACGCCACAGCGCTAAAGCTCGTTATATGCTGTTTCTGACACAGTCTGGTCTTGATGAAGTGGAAATTGATACCAAACTAAGATATAGAAGATGAAGAAAATTCTTTTGTCGCTGAAACACAATATAAACCAACTACAAGGAACATACCCCAAAAATAAAATAGTAAACAAGCAGACCCCCATCAAACCGGGGAGAACCACCAGGGCTAGATCAGTGCAGCTCACTATCCTAGTATTCGCCAGAGGTAAAAGAAACCAGACAACCAGACCGGGGAAAATATATCAAAGAAATGCACGCCATCTATCAACAATGCCCTCCCCGCTCACTTGTACCATACAGAAACAAGCGGGGACAATCAGTTGCGGAATAGGCGTTCTGGCTTTTGTGCAGGGTCATGATTTACAGGGCCTTGCCACCAACGAAGTTGGACCAGCTGCGGACCTCGGAGGGGATACCATCAGCACGGGGCATCTTCTCGTTCATGCACTGAGCGAAGAGCTGGGCAGTCTGCGGGGAGTCAAAATTAGCAACGAAGAAGATTAATGCGGGAAGTTGAACGGATAACGTACCTTGGGCTCCATGAAGAGAGGAACGCTGAAGTCGACAGCGTTACGGCGCATCACGTAGTCCTCGTCAAGCTGGGTCTTGCCACGGGTCTTGGCCAGATTGAAGACACCACGGATGTCATACTTCTGGAAGACCTCACGCAGAGCACGCTTGTTCTTCTTGGGGAACTCGATGACCTGCACGGAGGCGTTGCCCTTGCAGGTAGCCTCGATGTGAGCCTTGACCTCGGCGTTGGCAGCGTAGAACTTGAATCCCAGAGGGTTCAAGTAGTCGACGATGGTAGCCAGGTAAGGAGTGGTCACGTCACCACCGAGGAGGATACCCTCACCGGCCTCGGGGACGCGGAAGTTCATGGTGGACTGAAGAGAGGTCCAGTAGGCCTCAACGAGATCGGTACCGAAGCAGGCAATCTCACCAGTGGAGGACATCTCGACACCCAGGAAGGGGTCGGCACCGGCCAGACGGGTCCAGGAGAACTGGGGAACCTTGGTGGCGAGGTAGGGGCGCTTCTCCTTCATCAGGTCGACGGGCTCAGGGACGTCACGGCCGACAAGGGCCTTGGTGGCAACGTCAATGAAGTTGGTGCCCAGGACCTTGCTGACGAAGGGGAACGAACGAGAGGCACGCAGGTTGCACTCGATGACCTTGAGCTGGGACTCAGCACCCTCCTGGTCAGCCTTGATGATCTGCATGTTGAAGGGACCGGTGATGTTCCAGGCCTTGGCGACCTTCTCAGCGATATCCTTGACGCGGTCCATGATGGACTGGTCCAGGTTGGCAGGGGGAAGAACCAGAGTGGCGTCACCGGAGTGGACACCAGCGGGCTCAACGTGCTCACTGACGGCGTGGAGCAGGAGTTTACCGTTGGAAGCGACAGCGTCAACGTCAATCTCCTCAGCACCCTCAATGAACTTGGTGATGACAACGGGGTGATCGGGGGAGACGGCAGCAGCGTTCAGGAGCTTCTCCTTAAGCTCATCAACACTGTAGATGACGTTCATGGCGGCACCGGACAGAACGTAACTGGGGCGGACCAGGACGGGGTATCCAACGGAGTCGGCGAAGCGCTCGGCCTCAGCAACGGAGGTCAGCTCCTTCCAGGCGGGCTGGTCAACACCAATGCTGTCCAGGATCTGAGAGAACTTGTGACGGTCCTCAGCCTTGTCAATGTCCTCGGGGTTGGTTCCCAGAACGTGAGCACCACCGGTCTCCTGCAGACGCAGAGCAATGTTCTGCGGCAGCTGGCCACCGACAGAGACGACGACACCGCTAGCGGACTCGAGCTCGTAGATATCCATCACTCGCTCGTAGCTCAGCTCCTCGAAGTACAGCTTGTCAGCGGTATCGAAGTCAGTGGAGTAGGTCTCGGGGTTGTAGTTGATCATGACAGTCTTCTTGCCCATGTTGCGCAGGGAAAGAGTGGCATTGACAGCACACCAGTCGAACTCGACGGAGCTACCAATACGGTAGACACCGCTACCCAGGATGATAGTGCCGTGGTCATCGAAGGTGACATCGTGCGAGGTGGCGTTGTAGGTGGTGTACAGGTAGTTGGTGTCGGCAGGGAACTCGGCAGCCAGAGTATCAATCTTCTTAACCCAGGGGGTGATACCGAAGGACTTACGGCGAGCGCGGACCTCGTCCTCAGTGGAACCGACCAGGAGGGAGATTTGCTTGTCAGAGAAACCAAGCTTCTTGGCCTTCATCATAATCTCCTGCTTGACGCCGAAGAGGCTGCCAATCTCCTTAAGCTCGTGGTGGCAGTCGACAATGTTCTGGATCTTGTACAAGAACCACTTGTCGATCTTGGAGAGCTCGTGGACCTTGTCCACGGAGTAACCCTCGTGGATCATGGCCTGACCAACAGCCAACCAACGGCGATCGGTGGGGTTAGCGAGAACCTCATCGAGATTCTCGAACTGGTCACCCTGGAGACCAAGGTAGCGAGGGTCGACCTGGCGGATAGCCTTCTGTAGAGACTCCTCAAAGGTACGGCCAATGGCCATGACCTCACCGACGGACTTCATGGCACTGCCAATGTCGCGGTTAACGTGCTGGAACTTGCTCAAATCCCAACGGGGGATCTTGGTGACAATGTAGTCCAGACTGGGCTCGAAGTTGGCGGTGGTAGTCTTGGTGACAGCGTTGGGGAGCTCGGGCAGGGTGTGTCCGAGACCGATCTTGGCAGCAGTGTAGGCGAGGGGGTAGCCGGTAGCCTTGGAAGCCAGAGCAGAGGAACGCGACAGACGGGCGTTGACCTCAATGACACGGTAGTCGAGTCCATCGGGCTGCAGAGCGTACTGGACGTTGCACTCACCGACGACACCAAGGTGACGAACGATCTTGATGGCAGCGGTACGCAGCATGTGGTATTCCTCGTCGGACAGAGTCTGACTGGGGGCAACAACGATACTGTCACCGGTGTGGACACCGAGAGGGTCGAAGTTCTCCATGTTGCAAACGGTGATACAGTTGTTGGTAGCATCACGGACAACCTCGTACTCGACCTCCTTCCAGCCCTTCAGAGACTTCTCAACCAAAATCTGGGGGGACAGAGACAGGGAGCGGGAAGACAGATCACGGAGCTCATCCTCGTTAGCGGCAAAGCCAGAGCCCAGACCACCAAGAGCGTAGGCGGACCGGACGATGATGGGGTAACCGACAGTCTCGGCGGCCTTCAGGGCGTCGTCAACCGAGTTAACGGCAATCGACTCAGCAATGGGGATGTTGATCTCGTTCAGAGCCTGGGAAAAGAGGTCACGGTCCTCACTGGTCTCAAGGGTCTTGATGCTGGTTCCGAGCACCTGGACACCGTAGCGCTCGAAGATACCCATGCGGTTCATCTGGACACCGAGGTTGAGAGCGGTCTGACCACCGAAGGTCAGGAAGATACCATCAGGACGCTCGCGCTCAATGACGTGAGTGACATATTCGGGAGTCACGGGGAGATAGTAGACCTCATCGGCCAGCTTGTGGTCGGTCTGGATGGTCGCAATGTTGGGGTTGATCAGGACGGACTGGACACCAGCCTCCTTCAGGGCCTTCAGGGCCTGGGAGCCTAATTGACACAAGGACTAGATGTCAGTGACCAAACAAGACGGCTTTCTGGGGTTCTTGTGGGGACCAACGAGTCCAATGCCATTCCCCGCGGGGAGGCATGAAAAGAGCAAGCTCTCATGTGCCGCTCCAGGGGATTTGGATTGGATTAAGTACAAGGCATTGGGAGAAAACTAAGCAATGAAAAAAAATCACCCTCTACATACCGGAATAATCGAACTCTCCAGCCTGTCCAATGCTCAGACCACCACTACCAATGACCAGCACCTTCTTCACATCGACGAGGTTGGCGGGCTTGACAGCACCGCTAGCCAGGTAGGCCTCGGCAGAGGGTCCCTTCTGGACCTCAGCAAGACGGATGATCGAGCTGGAGAAGGAGCGCAGCTGCTTGGAACGAGCCGGGGAGGGAAGCTTCTGCAGGCGCAGAGCAGCGGCCGTAGATCGGACAGATGACTGGGAGGAGAAGGTGCGGAGAGAGAGAGGACGAGCCTCAGCGAGGCATCGCGATCGCAGCAGGGAGGCTGCCTGCCCACAACGAGCTGCAAGAACCATCGCGCCGCAAGTTCTGAATGAGAACTAGAGAGGTTCAATGGCCCGAAGATGGGATGATGGGGTGTAGAAGATGAGTCGCCGACGGGAGGTCTTTTTTTTCCCCCACCGGCCTCGCTAATTGGTTCGTTCCCTTCACCGTACCGGGTCCACTTCTTTTTTTTTTCCCTTGAAGGACCAAAGAGAGGAAATGGATGAAGGGGAGGAGGGATTAGGGATTAATTTTATAGAGATAATTGGGTATGAGGAAGAAAGAAAGAAATTAAAATTTAGGAGAAAAGAAGGGATTTGTACTTCTCCGGATTTCTTGCTCTATTTTTTCAGTTATGAGTCAAATCGTTGAATTTGGTGGATTTTAGGGTAGTGGAGACCACCATTTCCCTCTGTATACTTCAACCTCCATTTTTTCTTGTACATAAAAGAAATGATCATCTAGACAAAGGACTAGATCAATTAGAGCTACCGAACCCATATAGTCAATATTGACTGAGAAAATCCTGTTTCCTCAAGGCATAAAGTGCAAGTACTTTGTAGTCCGATGCCGGAACCTAGCCGGTCACACACAGGCGCTATCTCTTCTTATCCGTGGGGATCGACGCTAAAGAGGCCGGGAATGTGTTCGACTTACGAGAGAGTTTGATGCGTCTCCACGCCTCAATCAATTGAGAAATAAATTCAATTCCTCAATCTACCTTATTTTATACAGATGTATCACACATGACTTAGGATATAGTCTCGAAGACCTAGGAAATAACATACACCATGCAAGGATCAACAGACTTTTCACCAAGGCTATTCTAGTCCAACGCGCCCGTGCAGTCCCGACCAGGGTCCGTTTGGTCTTTTCTCCCGGGACCCACTATGGTTGCCGACCCCTCGCGATGTGTGAGCTTCGGAGGCCCAGATATCTGACGTAGTCTCGGGATCCGCGTCTTGCATAACACCCAAATCTTGGTTCAACATGCCATAAACTTCGCCCAACGTCTTGCGTGCATCTTGTGCGACTTCAGTTCCCAGTACCACTTTTTGTTGCACACGATCGCGCTCGTTCTTGGCGGCTGCTTCCGAGGCAAATGCCCACGCTTCTGCTAGACCCACAATTTCATCGGGCTGGTTCTGGTCGGGGGATTGGGATTGGTTGCGTGAGCTGAGGGCAGCAACTGCGTGCTTGATTCGTGGTTGGTGGGCGAGAAGGGGATATTCAGAGAGGAGGTGGCTCTCATCTCGTATACGGTGTAGGGCGCGTAGAGTGGTAGATTTTTCTTTGGCGAGAAGTCCAGCGAGATAGGACTTTTGTAGAGCCAGTGATCTCTGACTCTTGGAAAGCGGGACAAGGTTTTCACTTGCGTAAGACAGGACATCCAGCGGGCTGGGGGCCGGTAACTCCTCAGCGACAATCTCGGTTCTGTGGGTTGACCGCGACGGAGGTTTCGGGGTCACAGTCACCGGTTGACAGGCCGTGGAAGCAGCATCAAGAAGCTCTCGTCGTGCCTGTAGATAGGCAGCATATTGCTCCTTGATTTGCACCTTATGTTGTTCTAGTAGACGCTGGCCTTCCTCAATTTCCTCTGGTGACAGGTCTTGTACCATACTCTCGTCCGGATCTACTTCCGTGATCAGTCGTTCTTCGACCCATTGCACGAGTTCATCGCGTGTGCGCTGCAATGCTTGGGCCTTGACTGCAGACGGCACCTTGTCGGAAGCCACTTCTCTAGCATCATGCTGCGTTTTGACCTTCTCGAACAACCGTTTCTCCCGATCCAATTGTGTTCGAGCACGCACCACAGCCCTTTCAAGCTTATGTACCAATCCCTCCATATCTGTATCGGGGTCTTTTTGGCCCGGTCCGTCCGTGTCCAGCCCCTCAGGTAACAAGACCTGATTTGAATCCTCGCTCAACTCTAGACCAGTCGGTTCCTTTGCCTTGAGCTCTTCTAGATAATGCTGGAAGACCTGAAGCTTCGTATAGCGACGCCGTTCCCGCAAAAGTGAAACATAATCTCGCAGGTCCGCGCCGGGTTCCTGCGGATCAGCGGGGTCAACATTGGGAGTGCGGGATGCCCTTTGGCGTCTCAGCGAAGCCACATTGTCTGATGCAGCACGGAAATCCTTCCGAGCAGCAACGTTCGCCTGAAGTGCCTCTAGGTACTCCTTCCTTAGTCCTGAAATATCGGATGGTATTCGCTTCACATCGACGACGGCATCGATGGGTGCGCATAGAGCGAGGTGGGAGGGTTGGGATGTGTCATCGCTGAAGACAATTAAAGAACGTAGGTATGAAGTCAAGGCCTGGCGAATGCGGAGAGCTTCTTGCTGGGTCTTGACGTAAGGAGTGAGCTGTTTCACGAAGGGTGGAATGTGGGTAGGGGGTTCGTAGGATTCGTAGGGTTGGGCCATGGTGTCATTGGTTGGGAGGATTTCCTCAGGTCGTCACAGGTGGGTTCATCAGTGGAGAAGGCGAGTTTCATCAAGTCAGACGCTCATTCTTGCCATGCATGACGAAGTGATTTGTTTGGATCCAAATATCAAATGTTTGGGGGATTCGCGGAGGCTTATGTAACCTGTAGATCGCCGAGCTTATTTCGGTTTGTTTACATCGAGATATGGAATATAGTGCATGATAGTCTGTGTCATCTGGTTTAATGGATCATTTCATTTGCCTGCTGTGAGGAGCTTTGAAATAATATTGCAGGTTACGTTATCACTATTTGTTTTCTACTGATCATCAAGTTGGTTCCGTCACAAACTCGAATTGAGACATCTCATCGAGGCCCGAGCACAAGTATCTCGTCATCTAATCCGTCTTGTGCCTTAACAAGTTTTTCGTTGCTAGCATTGCCGATCAGAGGATCGGAAAGACTGCAGTCTCCCCTGATGGAATGCCAAAATAGAGAAATAAAATAGCCTCCAAACAACTGCTGGGTGGACTTCGTATTCATAGATAAGGTACTTAGATCAGGTGCTTATGATACCTAGATCCACGGCCCAATAAAAGCCCGAACAAAGCGGTTACAAACTGTCCCTTTCTGCATCCTTTCCTGTACCTTCCTGCGTCAAATGAGCTCATCTGCATCCATGCCTCGCCGCCTATCCCGGGAATGTTTCGTGGAATTCTGATCAAGGGGTGTTTAGCCTTCCTCATCGCTGCCCGACGCTGAAACACCCGCGGACCTTTATAGTTCCCCGCAAAGCCCCGGTTCAGGTCAAACATGCCTTCTGCTGGCCCAGAGGAGCTAGATACCCGTTTGGATGCCCCCGTCGCCATGACTTCCGATCTTAGCCTCTCCACGCCTCAACGGCCTAGAGCCGCAACTTCCACCCTCCCAGCCATGCCTCAATTACCCACTTTACAACAGTCATTGCGAGGCCCCAGATCTGCTCATGGGGGAAGCCCACCACTGGGATCAAATGAGCAAGAGGTGACCAGATCGGCCCAGGGTAGGTCCATCATTCTCTGATCTGATATTGAATTCCTTCGCCTAACCACACCATCATTCACAGGGCCACTACGACATCCAAAGCCTCTAACTCCTTCAGATCTGCATCTTGTCCTGGAAAAAGAGCAGGAGGCGATGGTGAGTAATATCACATGATCCATCAGAGACAATCTACTAACAAAACAGGTCAATCGATTAACGCGCGAGCTCTCCCTTCTCCGCCAACAGACTGCCTCCGTGGCATCCACAACATCTTCCACCTCAACCTTGAATGAATCCACCGAAGGTGTTCATGGCTCTCCGTCTTTGACCGGCTCTACAAATTCCCTTTCATCTCGTCGACAGCGCTCCTCCTCTAGTCTGGGCTCCCACGCCCCCTCGGTTCATGGAAGTCAAGCAAGCGTCACAGGAATAGCCCCCTCTCGAACGGCGGATCCTCACCGATCCACACGAAGCCGTGAACCATCGCTCTCTCATCGCCGCCCATCGGTCGGATCACTCAGCTCATACACGCAGCATCCCCACCCAGACCACATCGCCCATTACGGAAGTCCCTCTATCTACCCCCATCGTAACTCGGTCTCCCAGACTCACCTGGGCCTATCGAGTAGCTCTCTCGCTCGATGCGAGGAGGTCGCAACGCACAGATCGGAGCTAGAAACCGCCAGACGGGAGAATGAACAGCTGAGACGGCGTGTTCGAGAGCTTGAACAAATTTTGAAGAAGCAGAAGGAGAGACCTGCCGATTCATAAGACAACCCGTTCCTTGGGCATCAAAGACCTCTGGTCCTTTTTCATTTTCTTCTACCTGCCGGGAGCAGTACCTGGTCTTTCCAATTTCCTTTCTATTCTTAACCTCATAGGCCTTGGTTTGCAGGCAGACATTCCATCCTTGACTCCAAAATTCAACTTTACTCATTTGGCGGTCATATTTTGCAGATGTCGATACTAGGCAGTAGAATAACCTTGGCTGGTGCCCACTTTAGATTATCGATATAGTAACACGAGGCGGTGCAGCCCCGCTCTACGTCACCTGTGGCGCAGCTCCATAAATAGTTGACCTCATCCTGTTCTCCTTTTCTTGCTCTCCAAATAATTCCTCTCCTCAAAATTCTCCCTTAACAGATTTACATCTTCAACATGTCTGGTACCACCGTCCACGTTTCGGGCATCGCCCCCTCCACTTCTGAGAAGGACGTCCGTGACTTCTTCAGCTTCTGGTGAGCATGCCCCTCCAAAACAAACACAGCTGCGCAATAGAACTATGACAATGGACTTTTGAGCTAATAAATTAATACAGCGGCAAGATTACCTCTCTTTCCATCACCCCCACTAGCTCTGAGGCCGACTCGCCCAAGTCCGCTAGCGTCACCTTCGAGAAGGAAGCGTAAGATAGCTACCCCGCACCGCGCGTCACCAAGCGGTAACACTCTATAACCCAATTTCTAACCCATAACACAGCGCCGCAAAGACTGCTCTGCTCCTCGATCAGACCCAATTGGGCTCCTCCTCAGTCCACGTGGAAGCCGCCCAAAACATCGACGACCTCGCCGGTGCCCAAGCCACTTCCGCCTCCGAGAAGGAAAATGAGCACGAAATCGCGCAGGAAGACAAGCCCCGCTCCCGCATCTTCGCCGAGTACCTCGCCCACGGCTACGTTGTTAGCGATGGCGCAATCCAGAAGGCCATTGCCCTGGACCAGAAGCACGGATTCTCCAACAAGTTCACCACCGCCCTGGGCAACTTCGACAAGAAGTTCAACGCTACCGAGCGCGCTAAGGGTCTGGATGAGAACTACCAAATCTCCAACAAGGCTGCCAGCGGCTGGTCCTCACTGCACAACTACTTCGAGAAGGCCCTCGAACACCCCCACGGCCAGAAGCTGCGTGATTTCTACGTGCAGACTGATAAGCAGGTGCGCGATATCCACAACGAGGCTCGCCGTCTGGCCGACCTGAAGCTTGGCCGTAGCCAGGAGGGTGAGGCTGCCTCTGCTCCTGCTGCTACTTCTGCTGAGGGCGCTACTACCGCCCCTGCTACTGTTCCTGCCACCGAGGCTGCAGGTGCTGCGCCCCCGGCTGAGCCCAAGGCGTAAGCTTAATAGTTGCAAATCGATAGTTTGGTTAGCGATGATGAGGATTTGCGCTGGCGTGCTTTCTTCGTGTTTAATTATTTCTGCTTCCGAGCCCATTCCCCGTGTTTTATCCACGAGCTTACGATTTGTGTGACGACTGCGGCAGATTGATGCCACTTGATTTTCAATGGTTTAGTTTCAAGCGAACGAACATACGATTACTTTTTTTTTTTTTTTTTTTTTGCTGCAGTTCAATTCCAAATTAAGTAAATAAAATTCGGCCAAACTTATTGCTAAATTTGTATTCATTCAACACGTCATAAACTTCTTAGCCACTCGTGATAATGTGCTTTAATTCCCGGGTCCCTTCTTGTACTTCGCCGCCTCGATCTTCTCCAACGGATGCTCGGGGTTACTCGTCAAAGTCTCACTCTTCGATCGGTCGGATTCTTGCTGCGCAAACTCGGGTGCTGGTTGGGAGGATGAAGCTCCGATCTTGCCGCTGGATGGAGGGTCCTGCTGCTGGATACCAGATTGGCGTTCCGGAGGGGGGGATTGGCGGCCTGCGTTTTGGGAGGACATATTGAAGTCGTGTACTGAGGTATTGAGAACTGTGTGGAACTGTTTGAGGATTAATTGTTGGTCGACGTTGGAGAGGGTGGCTGGTATGCACCTTGGATATAAAAGTTCTCGTGTCTCGTTCAGGTGGTTTAAGGTAGTATAAAGTATTTATGAAAAACAGAAGAAAGAATTTGGACAGAATTGAGTATAAGTATTCGGCATTTAAGATGTTTTCATCATTGACGTGACTTCCCCGAACCGGTTGGGGTGTTCATCATTATGACGTTATTTGCACCTGTAAGCTCTCAGCTTCGGGCCTGCTAAGTGGAGGATCCCATGGGGAATGACCATTTTAGGCTCACCCAGACTTTACCTTGAATTGAAATAGAGCGAGACTGGGTTTTGGATGTCCTTGGATGATATCACTCCTCAACCCTGTACTTGGTCACGTGTAGGCAGTCGCTGTAGAATTGCTAGATGATGGTTTGCAACAATGGTACGTTGGATATCCAGCTATCTCGCCAGAACTGAAATAAAAATATTTTCTGGCCTGCAGGAGCTTCTCAATTGAGAATTACTTTTCTTATTTGGAGGTTTACCGCCGGCTAGGCGCCGAGTGTCTCTCGGCTTGAGAATGGATGATATCGCCAAATCATGTCCTGTTCATAGCTCGAACTAATTCTACATTACCAGAAATAAGCATGCATTGAATATGTGTAATGCGACTGATGTGCTAGCTATACCAAACGCGAAACTATCTTTGGGGAGGGGAATCTGTGCAATGAGGCGGATTATCAATGGGAGCGGACGGGTAGGGACTTTTTTGCAAGCACATCAGTGAGCTGAATGAATAGGAAAAGGGGGGGAAATAGACAAAACAGCAGATATAAACGGGGAACAGGCATGATCTAAACAATGGGAGGAAAGACATGAAAAGGGCATATGTCTCGTGAGCAAGGAATCAGAGAGACCTGGCAAGGGTTCATCCAAATTAATGGATGAGGGTCATTGCATTTAACCAGTCTATTGGTTGCCATTGGCCTGCATGGCTGCTGCGGCAGCTTCCGCATTCTGCTGGGCGAGCAGCGCCTTCTGGTCGGCCTCGTGGAAGACGGCCTGGATGATCTGCTGTTCCTCGGGACCAAGAACCTTGGTCAAGTTTTCGTAGAGCTGGGGCTGCTCGGACTGCAGGTCTGTAGAGAGAACAATCAGCTTGGCTTCAAGTGGTGTGTGGCAGGATGACTTACTCAAGAACACTTGCTTGAACATGCCGTACGGCTCGACCTTATCCAGGGGTGTCTCAAGGAGACTCTCCTCATCCATGTCATCATCATCGTCGTCGCCGTAGGCGCCGAACTTCTGAGCCTCCTGGTTGAGGAACTCAAGGTAGGCAGCACTCTCGTCGGCAACATCGTCGTCGAGAGCCTCTTCAACTTCCTCCTCGTTCCACTCAACTTCACCATCCCAGTCATTCTCCTCGTCATCGTCATCAAGATCGTCATCAAGGGTGAAGTCAGACTCCTTAGTAGCCTCCTCACGAACTGTCACGATGGTTAGCAAAGAATACCACGTCAACATATACAGAACGATACATACTCTTGAGTGCAGCAGGCAAGGTCTGGAAGAGTCTTGTCACACCTTGCAACAATCTCGGCCAGCCCTGCTGGACGCTGACGGGAACATCACCCGCCGCCATGGTAAGCAGCGAGCTGATCGCGGCAATAGACAGCTTCTTGTCGTGAACACGACGGAAGTTATCGATATTAGAGAACCAGTTGCTGAAGAACTTGTTGGTCCAACCCTTAGACTCAAGAACCTGGAGACTGAGAACCGGGTTGTAGTAGATGGCGTTAATGACCATCTCCATCAGGTGAATGCGGTAGGTCTTGGTGCGAGCCTCGTCAGCATCAATGACAGTCATAGCCAGCTCAATGAAGAGCGGGATGTACTGATCAATGTGGCCACGGAGGTTGAGCATGAGAGTCTCGGCAAGCTTGCAGCCGCAAATGCGGTCAACACCGCCGACCTTGTCATCGCGGAAAATATCTTCAACCATGCCAACAATAGCACCCAGATAGGCCGGGTTCTGCACGAGCATGTCAGATCCGTAAGCGACGTAGTTGTCAAGGGCAGGGAGCATGTCCTCCAAGTACAGCTCAGCGCCAGCCTTGAACGTCTTGTGAATGAGCTCAAAGGCTTGCCACATAGTGCCGGAAATGTTCTTCGAGGCAAAGGTGCAGCTGTCAATGATCTCAAAGATCTCGTTGTACAGATCATATAGCTTATTCTCCAGAGTGATGCTGATGATAGGCATCAGGATGGTCTCCAGATGCAGGAGCACATCGGGGGTGCTCTCGAGAGTAAGGATGAGAGTTCCAATGGTCTGCAGAACACCGAGTGCGGTGATACTCTTGTCGTCCAGGAAGTCGCCGAACCCATCATCATCGCCGCCCTTGTTAGCATTGCGCTCCAGAAGCTCACCGATGATACGCATGTAGGTATCACGGAGCTGCTCGCTCAATGCGACAGCGAAGGGAGTCAGCTCAGCGGAGAAGACCTCAACGAAATCCTCCATGACGTTTGCCAAAGCGTCAACGTCGACCTCGTTGGCCAACTTGAGTAGCTGCTGCATGATCTGGGGGATGTTCTGCTGCATGGAAGTCCGAATGATATCGTGGCGAATCAGAGGCTGGAGAGCCAGAGCAGCCTCAACTCGAACAGGAAGCTCAGAATCGGCCATGGACTCCAAAATATTACGGTAAATGACCATCAGGTTGTTAGGATCCTTGAAGTCGAGTTGCTCGAATTTCTCCAGGGTGTCACAAGCACGAGCACGGAGGAAGCCGTGGGGGCTGCGGAACTCGGGGAAAACATGGCGAACAAAGAAGTATTCAACCTGGTCAGCAATAGGACTCTTCTTGCCCAGGATAACGGAGGCGAGCGATCCAATCATGCGGAGAGCACCCTCCTTCTCTCGGGGCAGCTTCTGGTCCTCAGGGGCAGCCTCGTACTTGCTGACAATGCTATTAACAAAGGTCAAGATCGAGAAAGTCTGCTTCTTGCGGTTCTTGGTGAGGGACACCAGGAAGTTTGTGGCGGAAACATCGGGAGCGGAAACCTCCTCGTAAAAGTTCAGCTTGCGGTGCAGGTACTCTGAAGGATCCTCCTCGAACAGCTCAATATCCTCATCGGACTGGCACAAGATGGGAAAGACGAAATGGGCGATCAAGTTCTCCATGTGTGGCTTCAGGTGCTCCCACATCGCCTTGGGCTTGACACACTCTTCCATGTAGATCAAAGTGTAAGAGATGGCGGAGTTGCTCATCCATTGGGACTTGGAGACCCACTTGTCAATCTCCTGCAAATATCCATTGAGGATTTCGGGGGCAAAAGTGCTGATGAAAGTTTTCGCGTACGCGGTGTAGTCGGGAGTAGAAGTGGGCTTCGACATGGTGGTGGGGTTTCCGTAGCTAGAGAGAAATCGTAGATCAATATGACAGCCCTAAAATCTTGACACGGGGCCTGAAATCGTACCGGATGAAGAGACGGTTCAAGTTAGCATATGACCACTTCTTGCACTTGAACCAGTGGTTCATCTCCCTGTCTTCCTTCGACTCGTTCATAGCGCAAGCCGGGGGTGTCTTGGAGATGATGCGCAGGAACAATGTGCACCAGTCCACTGTAGCCTGGTGGGTCTGGAGAGCAGGGGAAAGTTCAAACTAGACATTGCGAGTCAGTTTATACATCCGGAATCCTTGCATCGAGGGGCATGGTCCACCCACGTAAATAGCATGCTTATAGGCCTTCACAATAATCCGAAGCATCTCCGCCGCCTCCAAGCTCTCCTCATCAACCAACCTTTGTCCAATGCTCAGCAGCTGGGGGAACGAGTGCTCCACGATCTTGTCAAACTCCTCGCGCTTCTCCCCACCCTTGAATCGGTACACACGGCAAATGGCCAGCAGACACTGCAGACCCGCATAGACGGTGTTCGCATCGTTGGTAGCGAGCAACTGCAGGTTCAGCTCCAGAAATCCGGGCCACTGCTCGGGGAAGTCGTTCTGCAGAATCTTCTGAAGGAGGGGAACCAGTTGAGCGCGGACATTGGGCGGCGTCGAGGCCAAGGCAGGGATAAGTCGCTCCCGGAAAGCAGGCTTCTCGGATTCAGGAATCGGGGTTCGCGATGGACTCTCTTCGATGGGGGCCCATCCTCGGCTAATACGGTTCTTCAGGTAGACACCAGCTGAGAGGCGGGGTTAGCGACATTATCATTCCAAATAGCTATTTGATATAGCTGCCTGTTGGAATGAACATGCACTACATACCAGACAGCTGAACTGCGTTGTTCTGTTCCCCCTGCAGGATATCTAGCAGCGCATTGATAAAACCAGGCTGCGTCTCGGCCTAGAAAATAGAGGGGGCCATGAGCCCCCCACGAGGTCAGTCTCACGCATCAACCCCGCCCACCAAAAAGTATAGGAACATACATATTTCAGATCCAACTCCGCTTGTCGGCGATTGTCCGCATTCGCGTCTAAAGTAGACTGGATGCGGTCTCGAAGGGCCGTGACATCCATATTCGCACCACCCCAGCGCCAGAAAAAAATATCACAAATAAACTCCGAGTAGGGAACCCCGGGGAACCACGTGAGGGCGAAGGCGAAGGTATGCGGAAGGGAGCAAGGAAAATATATTCCCTAAGGATCAAATGAGGGTGATTCAAAGATCAAAAAAAAAAGTTGTCGAGGGGGAGAATGGGAAATAGTATCTGGGATTTTCTAGGGCGGTCGCCCCGCAGCTAATCAGCGGCCGCACAACATGGATTTTAGTGACTCCACATTCTCCTTTCACAGACTGGGACTATACTATACATCCCTTTGACGTGTAGCACAACTAATTTCAACATATCTGTGTTTTTTTTTTTTTTTTTTTTTTTTTTTTTATCTGAGGTATCATCTCATCCATAAAAGTAAGGTACAATGTAGTGAGTCATAGTCATCAATGCTCATCCGGTCTCTAAT